CCATTTGCTAAAATCAAAAAAGTTAAATTTTATTTCTCATTAATGTACACTCAGCACCCCATCTTGACAAAAAAAACAAATGTAAAAATTTTTGCAAATTTATTAAAAAAGAAAAACCGAAATATCACATGGTCATAAGTATTCACCCCCTTTGCTCAGTATTGAGTAGAAGCACCCTTTTGAGCTACTACAGCCATGAGTCTTCTTGGGAATGATGCAACAAGTTTTTCACACCTGGATTTGGGGATCCTCTGCCAGTCTTCCTTGCAGATCCTCTCCAGTTCTGTCAGGTTGGATGGTGAACGTTGGTGGACAGCCATTTTCAGATCTCTCCAGAGATGCTCAATTGGGTTTAGGTCAGGGCTCCGGCTGGGCCAGTCAACAATGGTCACAGAGGTTCTGAAGCCACTCCTTTGTTATTTTAGCTGTGTGCTTAGGGTTATTGTCTTGTTGGAAGGTAAACCTTCGGCCCAGTCTGAGGTCCTGAGCACTCTGGAAGAGGTTTTCTTCCAGGAAATCTCTGTACTTGGCCGCATTCATCTTTCCTTCAATTGCAACCAGTCGTCCTGTCCCTGCAGCTGAAAAACATCCCCATAGCCTGATGCTGCCACCACCATGTTTCACTGTTGGGATTGTATTTGGCAGGTGATGAGCAGTGCCTGGTTTTCTCCACACATACCGCTTAGAATTAACGCCAAAAAGTTTAATCTTGGTCTCATCAGACCAGATAATCTTATTTCTCATAGTCTGGGAGTCCTTCATGTGTTTTTTGGCAAACTCTATGCGGGCTTTCATATGTCTTGCACTGAGGAGAGGCTTCCGTCGGGCCACTCTGCCATAAAGCCCCAACTGGTGCAGGGCTGCAGTGATAGTTGACTTTGTGGAACTTTCTCCCATCTCCCTACTGCATCTCTGGAGCTCAGCCACAGTGATCTTTGGGTTCTTCTTTACCTCACTCACCAAGGCTCTTCTCCCACGATTGCTCAGTTTGGCTGGACGGCCAGGTCTAGGAAGAGTTCTGGTCGTCCCAAACTTCTTCCATTTAAGGATTATGGAGGCCACTGTGCTCTTAGGAACCTTGAGTTCCTTGAATTCGTTCCTTCGACCTCATGATTCTCATTTGCTCTGACATGCACTGTGAGTCTTATATAGACAGGTGTGTGCCTTTCCTAATCAAGTCCAATCAGTTTAATTAAACACAGCTGGACTCCAATGAAGGAGCAGGACCATCTCAAGGAGGATCAGAAGAAATGGACAGCAAGTGAGTTAAATATGAGTGTCACAGCAAAGGGTCTGAATACTTATGACCATGTGATATTGCAGTTTTTCTTTTTTAATAAATTTGCAAAAATTTCTACATGTCTGTTTTTTTCTGTCAAGATGGGGTGCTGAGTGTACATTAATGAGAAATAAAATGAACTTTTTTGATTTTAGCAAATGGCCGCAATGAAACAAAGAGTGAAAAATTTAAAGGGGTCTGAATACTTTCCGTACCCACTGTATATATAATTAATATAGCAGTATCACACACACACACACCTGAACGAAGCAGAAGAACAACAAAGCTAACGCTAGCTGAGATAAAGTTAGCACGTCAGTATAAAGTTACACAAGAAGCATCATGAACAATAATCATCATAACTTACTCCCTGTATTTTGTTAACGTTAGCTTCTAAGGAGGCTTGATCACAGTTTGACTATTTCTCTCTCACGGTAGCTCTATCTTTACCTCTGGTACATTTACATACAGCAGCACACACACACACACACACACACACACACACACACACACACATTGGTGATTCTCGGTATAAACTTTGTGAATCTCTATAAAAATAGCAGTAGGGGAGAATATGGAGACATCGGCACCAACTGGCTTAATAAATTAACCTCACCTTATAAGTTTCATGTTCATCTTGCAAACATTTAACAAACATTTAACAAACATTTAACAAACAATAACTACGTTAGCGTAATTGAGGCTCCTGTAGCTAACAACGGTTAGCATGTGCTAGCATTACACGAACAATGAAAAACAGCATCAATTCTTAAAAATACTTAGTTACTTCCTCTGCCGTCTCTCCACAGACAGTTGGTACAATCCCTCTTTCAGGAACAGTCTTTGAGCCAGTCCAGTGTTGTACTGACCAAGGTTGTGAAAACAACACAAAGTGGTTCACACACGAAACCAAAATTAAAAAAATACAATTATGAACCTGAAAAGGGGAATAATATGTCTCCTTTAAGCATGTTTTTTGCTAGCCAATGTCTACAGGTCCAGGAAATGGTCAAAACAAAAAGGAGCTCTGTGTATCTGCACTCGATTGCTCTTACTAAACACTTTGACCCGTCTGTGACCTTAAAAGTGTAATCTAGTGGTTTGAAATTGAGTTGAGATTACGACATTTGAATTTATAGAGCTGAATCTGAATTTAGAGAACTGAAATTGAAAGTACATAAAACGTTTTAAGAATTTTTTGTGAGGCTCAAATTCAGTTTCAAACTAATAAATTCATATTCAAATTATACCATTCAGATTCAGTTTTTCAATACAGTTATTCAAGTTTAACAATACAAATTCAAATTATGCAATTCAAATTCCGTTTTTCAATGCAATTATTCAAGTTGAGCAATTCAGATTCAGTTTCTACTGACACAAAAATCAGCCCATAGTTCTGTCTCAGGAGTGTTTTCTACCAGAGCTGCTTACAGGCCCCAAGACAGTACCGAGAACGAGATGTGGGAGAGGTATGCACTGATTGAATAGGAAGGGATGGAGGGAGGAGGGAAAAGAGGATGAAGGGGTGTAGGTAGAGAAGAGCAAAGGGAGGGGTTGGGTAGGATGAGGTGAATGGATGAACGGAAAGAAAGGGAGGGTGGGTCGAGAAAACTCAGCACAGAGGTTCAGAGGTTTTATACATCCAAAGAACTTCCAGACCAGGCCTCTAATAGAGACCTGTGTTTTTTGACCAAACATGTAGCCACACCAGGCTAGTAAAGGAGACCTGCATCTATTGGGACCCTGCTTTTATTAGACGTTTTACGGTACACAGTATATGCAGTAGGCCTGTAACCCAGCATTTGGTTCACTTCTGTGGAGAAAAGTAAATGTAAATTGTTAAGAACATTGTCTAACAGAACAATGGCCAAGCATCGGGGATGAATTTTAATTTGTCAAGAAGTCCGACCATTGAGTCGGTTTGATTGTTAAAAATAATGAAAAAATAAAAATAAAAATACATACATACAATTGCCATTATAAGAACATTTAGCTCTAGCAATAATAGTATTTAAGTTAATAATAATAGTTAGAGTGACTGTAATTATCATAGTATTAACTGGTAAGTTCCATGTGATAATAATAATAATGATAGAGAGGGAATTGTTAGGTAATAACTGTAATATCATGATAATAATTAGTGTTGTACTAATACATTATATGCAAAGCAATAACCTATATTAATAAAGACACTTATATCAGTAATAATGATGGTTCATTGGAGTGGAGAGAAAGAAAGTAAAAAGAGAAGAAGAAATGGGAGAGTGGGATCGAGGGAGGACTGTGTGTGTGTGTGTGTGTGTGTGTGTGTGTGTGTGTCTTCAACAGAAAAGTGGGGATCACAGTGTATGTGTTATGGCAAATACTTTATGTATATGTGTGAATGATTGAATGTAGGATTATTGTGGATGGTGGACAGGGAAACAGACATGATTCACTCGTTACCACTGAGTGAAGACAGACAGATGTCCACAGAACTGTTGCAGTATTACAAAAGTCACTAAAACTGTTTGTTGATGCTATTTCTCAATGAGACTTTCATACAGCCACACAATAACAAAGTCAAATATCCTCTACTGCGTGCACTAACTGAGTTAGCTCATGTCAACACCTTTTTTATATATTTCTTATTCAGACTTCCACTATATCCCCTATTCACAGTTAACAGTCAAAAATGAAGGTATAGTAAATAGAAAAAAGGCCTCATTACATCACATTTATATAAATTAGGAACGTTTTAGATGTTGAAAGATTCCTGTTTATATGCTAACAGCATTTCTCATCTGATAGTTGTGCATAAAGTACAAACAAGAGTATACTTTTATATACTTTCCTTCTGTATCAGAAGCCTGTTGTCCCACTCAGCTCTATGCATATAACTCAGTTTAACCCCCTGCAGTGTAATCGTGTTTGAGGATCGATAACTGAAATTTATGAAAAGACAGATGGCTTTACAGGGACATTGCATGTGATGATTTACACACCGACCATATTGTATTATGTAAAAACACATACTGTTAATTAGACAAGTAGTCTAATCCATTTTGACTTCACTAAAATGAACTTGATGCATCCCTCAGTCAACTTAAAATATGTGTACATAGAAACTGAGTGTAAATGCAACAGGAAATGCAAATAGCTGCACAGTGTTGTGAGCAGTACAATATTATGTCTGATCTGTTCTGACAGTGTGTGGGATTTTATCACTTCCTTTTTTCATTCTCTAATGTTAACCTAAGTTTGTTGCCATGGCCACCATCTTTCACTAACCACAAACAAAGTTTCTCAAGCTTTTAGTTGCCCTATCTCTACCTCAATCATCCTTCTGTCACATGGCTGTAGTAAGGTTGAAAAATTTGTTTTGTAGTATTTTGAATATGAACATTCAGTCTAGGTTTAAGAAAATAAGCAGCATTAAGGTTCCCCCAGAACGTCCAGTAGCTGCAGAAGACCAGAATTTGTAGAAGATTGGTCATTAAGATAAGAAAAATGCTTCATCATTTCTCATTTTATTGTTTGAATGGCATTTTATTTTCTCTCACTGCACTGGACACTCTTTTTTTTAAATCAGCAGGAGAAAATGAAAGAATAGAAAATATTTTTCATCATATTCCTTTATACTTCTTATGCTTCGTTGTTGCTTTTTCAAGTGAGATGATCAGAAACTATTTTCTGAGGTGGGACTTCCTGTGAATAAAGGAAAACTGAACCCACCTACAGTTTTATCATTAATGTGAAGAGTAGCTTGTGCTGCAGAGCTTACCCACAGCAGAACATTTGGCATGCTTATGAGCGATGGAGGAAATCTATAGGAATGATGAATATGACGACTGTGCTGACTTAAGAGCATCCCAGAATCAGAGAGGTAAGAATAATGATTCAGACAGAGAGGCTGACAGACTGAGCTCTGCAGAAATGTGTATTATTACCTGTCATTAATGCTGTTGTATCATTTACTGTATTCACTGGTCTTTTCTGTGTTCAGGTCCCAGGAGCTCAGAGAGGAGATTTCATGGATCTGTTGTTCTCTGTCTGGGTCTGCTCACTGTTCTCCTGCTGGCTGGACTCATCTGCCTCTGTGTCCACTGTGAGTCTAAATCAGATTCAGAGGTTAAAGTCAGGCTGGATTGTGATGATAGGAGCATCATTCTACTCTGAAAGATGTACATGATTTTCCTACGTGTGATTATTTTTGTCTGATAGGTTTGTTTGATTTATTGTCTTGTCTCAACACTGTAAAAAATGTCACTAATGGTTAGTTAAAAAAACATGATGGCAAGTGACACGTAGAACAATTGCATAGATTTTAAGTGCTACAACTTTGATTAAAAAGTACTGAATAATTAATAGAAAAACCAAAATTTGTACATTGTAATAACAGCAACAGTTAAAATAAGTTGGACCTGGTAACAACTTGACAAATGATAACACATAGCTCTAAAATACAAAGTAAATCCAAGTTAACTTCATACGGAAACGGATTTATATTTAAAGAGTCTGAGCAAAAGTTATTTCGATTAACCAAATATCTGATGGAAACTTTTTTATATTTACTAATTATCTAGATAAAAAATATTTTACACACACATATTTTACATATTTAACACATTCACACAGTTCAAATTCAAACTTACAACTTACTTTATTATTATCTCAGATAGCAGTTTTTCATGGGCCTAGAGCAAAATACAGCACAAAGGAAAATACAATATTTTTATTTCTCTGTATCTAAATTAATTATTTAAATTCAGGGCAGCAACCCAGAGATATTTCATGCACTCTACCATTTTATCGATGATGTTGTACTAGTCTCGATGCTGTACATTTTCATCTTTTGCATGGGAAGGTCTTGTGACACGCTGTCTTCATCAGCTTCCTTAAATAGCAAGAATATTTCAGCATGTACAGCTAAAGGAGAAGCAGAACTGTATGAAAATAATGACTGCATTTTGCGATTTGACTTTCCCAAGACATAGTGAGAGAGAGAGAGAGGGACAGAGAGAGAGAGAGAGAGAGAGAGAGAGAGAGAGAGAGAGAAGCCTTATAAAACACAAGAAAATTATCAACCAAAAGAAGGCTAAATACACGGATGATGAATCAATCAAAATCGAAAAGGCTATAGACCAAAATTATTTTTGGAACCTGTGGGGAAAAAAATTATTCAACCAAGTATAAAGATAACATTGCAATACAGAATGGCAATATTTTGAAAAACTCTAATCCTTAATTTATATCAAAATCCTGAACACTATGGTTTAAACACACATCAGATGTCCATAATTCACATATTGAAATCATTAGAAATGGCAGAAAAGACAACCAAAATGCTTTGGGCAGTCCAATTACATTTGAAGAGCTACAAGAAAACTGCCTGACCTTGAAATGGAAAGGCTTGTGGTATTGATGGTATCAGGACAGAAATGTTGAAAGATGTTAGCTATAATCTTAAAATGGCAATATTAAAATTATTACAATTAGTAATAACATGTGGCATATATCCTGAAATTTTGAACAAGGGACTGATTAGTCCTATTTTGTCAACTCAAACATTATTTTTTTTTTTAAAAAAAAAAAAAAAATAAAATTTTTTTAAAAAAAAAAAAAAAAAAAAAATTTTAAACCTTATTTTTTTTTTTTAAAAAATTTAGAAAATAATTTGGGGTTTTTTAAGTAAGGATTTTAAAAACCCCTCCCAAAAACTTAAAATTTTCCAAATGTTATTAAATCAATCCTATAAAAAGACATAATAATATAATAGTTATTTTATGCACATAACCACTGACCATTGATAACCATTGCAGGTTGAAGGTTTTGGTGTCCAATCAACAACGTGAAACAGAATCAGTAAAATGATTATTTGACATGTTTCAAACATGAGAGGGCCAATTTAAATACATGCACAACTTTAAATTGTTGTCATAAAGTCTATCTTTATGATTGCTATCATGTTCATTTTTTGTTGACACTGTCAGAAGTGTTAATAAAGTACACTTTATATGTTTTAGCATTGAGTTCATTACTGTTTAAGATAAGGTACTCGACTGCCCTATATTCAGAGGTGTTTTTAATATTTTGACCTGCACATTTATGTAAATATGAAGTCCAAAGAATTAGAAACAACCTTACAATGCAGCTCAGTACTGATACCCTTTTAAGTGTGACCTAAACATATAACTGAATGTACACATTTCCAACAATGTCAATAAAAACTGACCATTATAAACACACACAGGCTAACTCTAATTATATTCTAGCAGTCTGATCACAAAATATTTGCAAGTATAATACTCACTGAAGAATACCTTGAGTAGGATACCCTGCAACCTCAACCCCATGGTTCCCCATTTTGTGCAGAAGAGGTTCAGAATTCTTGGAGTGTCAAGATGCAACTCAATCCAGATCTAAAACATAAATAATGAAAGCTGCTTTAAAGCCACAAATATTACAAATATATTTTCTAAATTTTAATTTTCTTAAAACATTTTGAAAAGTAATAAGTATATCATCTTATGACCTTGCTATTTGTGCTCGCTAATAGAGGAGCCCCTGTGAATTGGGGATAAACATTAATACAACACACAAGCCAGAGCATGGACACAAGAGTATATATAGCTCACTTTGTTTAAAAATGTAAGAGACTAATGCTACTTTAGTTAGTAGCAAATGCTACTTGAGTTCTGTTTACTGGAGAAGACAAAATGCAGTACATGAATCATAATTATTTACCTCTGAGATCAAGAACGTTACATTATGCACAGTGGCCACATTTAAAACATTATGCACTAATGTGGTCAGTTGGCTACGAGCTAACTAGCACATTAAAGTGGGGGAGAGGTGGAAGCACAGGCTGATGCCAGGAAAACTGCTAAAATTACATTACAGAATAACATTGCTCAGTAGTTCGAAAAAAGTCATATAAAAATTCTATCATTGAGCCGACCACTTTTTCAGTCCTTTCCATGCCCAAAAGACAACAAACTGACTTTAAATCACTTAATTTTGACTTACAGCACAGTACATTTGGTATGTTTGGTAACACAAAACAATGTTCAACAGCTATAAAAACTCATTTATAAATTGTTCATTAACTAACAATAATTAAAAAGTTCTTACCTTTGGAAAAATAGCGTCCCCTGAAATGTGTGCAAATGATTATTGCCTTGGCATAAAATGCCTTGGGCGGAAGTCTATGGTAAAACCAAAGACCTCACAATGAGTAAAATTGTTTAAAATTCAGATTTTTTAATTTTTTCCCAGATGTTATTGAACCAATCCTTTTATATAGAAGTAAAGTTTGGGGCCCATTAATTAAACAAGAGCACTGGGACTCAAAGCCAATTGAAAAAGTACATCTGGAGTTCTGTAAAAATATACTGAGAGTCCACAGAAACTGTCCAAACCATAGCTGCAGAGCAGAGCTGGGGCAGTTCCCTCCATTAATTAAAAAAAACATAAAATGACATTTTGGAACCATATGATAGAATCTGGTTTATACAGACACAGATCATACATACAGCACCAAAGCAATCTGAGCCCAGATAAAATACTTGGTATGAACCAAAAAAGGACATTATATTCATATGCCACAGTGATGCTATGGAAATAATCCCCTACTCATAAGTAAAACAAATTGACAATAAACTAAGATATTTCAAGCAGAAAGGTAAGGTGAAACCAAAGACCAATGAGTCAAATTTATCAAAATTCAGCATTTTTGAATTTCCTGATAAAATACAGTTCACTAACAAAGACCACGCCATCGGATGTATGAAATAAGAAAAGTCTATTGCACATAATGAATGAATGTGAACCGATTTGGTATACTGAGGGATGAGGACACTTTTCAAATAGAGCAGGTCTAGACCGAACTCTTTATAACATTATTTACAGAGACCCAACAGTACCACCATGAGCAAGCACTTGGTGACAAGGGCAAGGAAAAACTGCCTGTTAAAAGCCAGAAACCTAGGACAGATCCTTCGGCTCTAGGTGGGTGGTTGTCTGTCTCGACCAGTTGGGGTGAGAGAGAGAGAGAGAGAGAGAGAGAGAGAGAGAGAGAGAGAGAGAGAGAGACACACACACAGACAGACAGACAGACAGCAATTTTACTATAATGTCATGTAATAAAGAATCTTTGAATATTGAATCTTTGAATATTGAATCTTTGCTTTGTGTGCTTTTTGTACGTCTTACAGGTGCAGTGAGGAAAAATCGCATGACAGACAAAGCCACTGTACGGAGCCTCTAAAGGGACATGGGGAAAAAAATGAAACGTTTCTAGTGCGCACTAGATATGGATCCGGTGTTGTGGCGAATCAACACATGGCTAATTTTAATATTCAAATGAGTATTAAACTAATTTGTCTGTAACTAAAAATGAGTTTGAATTTGTCAAGAAATCAGATTAATGAGTCAGTTTGTTAAAAATAATTTAAAAAAAATACATAATACAGAGCATTGTATTAAAAAAAACATAAATTCATTTAAATCACTTGTTTTACACAAACTTCTTGCAGTGACTGAGTTCATTATTTGGGTTAATTGTACAGCTTTGTATATAAAATGAAATAGCCACGACAGATTGATCTTTCCTTCTCTGACTGTTACTGCTACTTGCAAGCCATAGCTATAAAAAGAAACGGTGTATGGGTGTCACTGTGGACGGACACTGCCATCACATCATCTTGGGTCAACCAGATCAGGAATATCCAGCTTATCTGGATCTTTCTGGCCAAACTGGTTCAGGAAGACCACCATCTTAATGAAGCAGCAGGTCAGGATGAAGGACATGCTTTTGTCTTTGTGGGAGAGTCTGTGGAGCAACTCTTTGAAGTTGTCTGTGGCAAAATTTTGCAACTCTGTTGCCATTATTTTATAATGCTCCTTTTTTAGTAACCTGGTGTCCGGCATAGGACTACAGTCAAGAGGTGAAAGCCACTATTGTGGAGTGTACTCCAACATGCAAATCAGCATGCATGAACTCATTAACACTAGCATGGGCTTCAAATTCATCCAGAAGTGGAGTTTTGGACGCAGTAAAAGTCCATATGGGTGTTTTCAAGGACATCTTTATTGTGTTGCTACAACTGTCCGCTCTGTTGATGTAAAAAATGGTGACATTATTCTGGGATTTTCTTACTGGGACTCTATTGCTGCTCTATGAAAGGAAGATGCCAGGGGTGCCAAATGTGGCACAGTGGGACGAGACAATTAAACAGTTTTTTGTTCATTTTTGCTGCTCTAGCTGCTTGAATGTGACTTTTTACCATGGGTGGAAAAATTCATGGTTCGTACAAAATATATTCTTATGATGTCAGTGTTGCTTCTGTGATGCTTTTCAAAACAGACAAAGTGCTATAAAGACAATGAGTAAAGGAAAAATACATCACAGAAAAGCCAGGATGGCAAATAGACATTTTGGTAAAACAAGCAGCTTTAGAGCAGAACAAAGCTCCTAAATGCTCCAATGCTCCTAAAAAAACACAATTCAAACTGAAGTTAACTCATTAAAACCAGACTCACAGTGCACACTGAGGGCGATGAGTCCAACCAGCAGGAGAACAGTGAACAGCCCCAGACAGAGAACAACAGATCCATGAAATCTCCTCTCAGAGCTCGTGGGACCTGAAAGATCAGTGAATACAGTCAAGTGTACAATATTAATAATGACAGATGATAATATGTATCTGTGCACAACCTCTCAGTCTGACTGAACGGTCTTACCTGTCTGATTTGCTAAAGGTCTTGGGTCGACGGGTTTATATTCAACTTTGACATAGATCTCCTCCATTGCTCATAAAGTCACCAACTATTTCCTAGAGAGTCAGCTCTGCAGCACGGCTACAGCACAGCAGAACGATGATATAAGTCACAATTTCTCTGCAACTTCTGAGGAAGTCACAAGTTTCAGAGGTGATAAAAATAGTTTGTACAACAATTAACCAACTGAAACTCGATTTCTCACATGAACAGATACTGTACATAAGAGTGAAGTCCCTAGATACACTGTATACACTTTATTTTAAGCTTGCACTGTTGAAGAAGTTAGCTGAATTGGCGACTTCAAATGACCTCTAATGAGGAGAGAATGAATAAATGTAACTCTAGGACCCCTCAGAGAGGAATGATTGAGTCGCTTTATTTTATATTAACATTCTCAAATTTAATTTGCCCTAAAAATGATAGGTAACCCTTTCAAACACCCCTGCAACATGTGTATTGGAAAAATTCAGCAAAGGACAAAAATATCACGTCTTATCAAGGTCTTGTGAGTTACCAGGTAAGACAAAAGGCTATTTTGGGAAATGCTCATTTGATTTCTTGCTTTGAGTTCAATGAGAATGAAACATTATTAAGGACTGGAAGCAACAGGGAAACCCCTTGTGTGAGCTCAGCACTTACCATTATCCAGCAGCGAGTTCTATCTTCAGAGACATTCATGTGATCCCACAGACGTCTTCAGTCAGCCCAGGAAAAAAGACACGTCTTCCCAGGGTGAAATCAAGGTTCAAATTTTGTTGTCTTTTTGTCAAGTATTTCTATGGATTGACACAAAATTTGGTCCAAGATGCATCAACTTACTGACCCATGAGGTACAACCACACTGAGTTTACTGCTCCTGTAATGATCTCTTGAAGATGATGATTACAGTCTCACTGGAATATCAACTCCCACCATAACAAAGAACAACAAATGACCACCAATACACCAAGTCTCTTGTGTGTAATTCACTTTTTGTCATTTCTTTAAAAACAGGTATTTCCTACACAAACCACTGGTCATCAATGTAAAGTAATGGATCAGTTGCTCTGTCAGCGACTCTATTAACATCAGTCCAACTTATTGTTGTTCCAACATGTTTAACGCTGTGTTTTATCCTCGATGGGAATGAATATTTGTTTCACACTTTGATCAAGTTCTGCACATTTTGAAAGCTTGGTCAGCTTCTCCTTTCCTGTGCTTAGATATGCTTTGTGTTAGGCTTGTCTATGTTGAATAGACAACCACATTCTAAAGATGGTTAGAAGATAAAAGTGACGTTGTTGTGTTCTTTGTTTGAGAAAGGACCTTAAAGGAAGTGTAGTCCTCAACTTCTTTTATTTGAGAGAATAAGTAAACAACACAGCTGTGGGTCCGATCTGCTTCACTCGAAAGGTCCGCAGGATCAGGCACCAGGAGCACAGTCTGCTCCCTCTTTTTATGAGTTTGTTATTCTGGGTGTCATCCTTCCTGATTAGTACATGTGTCACTATCTTTATTGGTCCTTATTTTGGCAGAGGCGGTTTCTTTGTATAATTCTGCAATGACCACTGTCCACACTCTGCCCATCACCTCCCAGGCTGGAGGTACTAAAATGTAATCAAAAAGGACAAAGGGTGCGCTTACTTACAGTGGGTGCTTCACCAGCTTATTGATTATTTAATTTAATTTTGAGTGAATGACTAAGGCTCAGTGTGTTTCTCATTTAGAGACTATTCTAAAACCTGCAGGCAAAGGTCACCAAGATAATCAGGAAGGACCTGTGACTGTGTCAGCAGAATATTTCCCTACACAATGCCTGTTTTTTTCCCCACACCCAGTATAACAAACCCTCTTCACATGTTTTATTGTACAAATATCTCACACTAGCTAATTGAGCTACCTAGCTAACAGCAGCTACAATAGTTATCAGCTAAAGTAACCACGCACATACATACAACAAGCAATGCTATATGTCCTTTAGGAAAAATATGATGCAGTTTCACCAAAATCTGTTATAAAGTTGTGTTTTTGTACAGTAATCAGTGACGCCCAGCCAACCTAATTCTTGTCTCGTTTGTGGTCTGATAACAGTAAATTCAGAATCTAATCCAGTGCCCCATATCGCTATTTTCCAAACTAAGCTGTTGCTAGCTGTTGTATACTATTGAGCACACCACTAAGAAAATGAGGTGGTGCTCACAAGCACTAGTTGCTGCCTGATATAGCCAGACCCATCTCCACATTGTTTAGTGCTGTACCAGCTAGTTGCTGGCTGTACAAAGAAATACTGCGGTCATGTGTTCCTCCCCCACCCACCTTTAACATGCCATGAAGACACAAATGTAGTAATTACTATATATATATATATATACAATAATAGGGGCAGGTTAGTGGAAAAGTACTGAGATGGCTGAGTTGAACAGGTGAGGAGGAACGCAGACTGTGACAGTGGCAGCCTTTCTTACTATGCTTTCTGCAGTTTACGCTGGTGAGTAGTTCACAGGTTTGTGTCAATGTATCTGAATGTGGGTTTAGAAGTTTTTAAATAAGATTGTAAAGCTTCTAAGCTCTTTGCAACGCCTTGTGCTGAAGTCAGCCCCAAACTAATGCAACAGATTGAAGCATTCAGCCCTCTGAGTGGCTGTGATGTCAGTATACGGTAAGAACCAGTCTTCTGTTCATGGAAATGGTCTTATAGCTGTTTAGAATTTAAATAAATCTGCTCCAAAGAACAGATGTGATGTATATCAATGTAAAATAAATCATAAACTTAGTCTTAATAATGTTGTTTCCAGAGGTGTATAGTAACGAAGTAGATGTACTTTGTTACACTACTTAAGTAGTTTTTTTGAGGATCTGTACTTTACTTGAGTTTTTTTTTTTAATCAAGACTTTTACTTTTACTCTACTACATATAAAAGTTAAAAAATATACTTTTACTCCGTTACTTTGACGTTTGCCACCTCGTTACTCGTTACAAATTAAAATAGAAATCTAATTAATCATCAAAGGATTATCTGGAATGGGCGTGTCCGAGAGGACGAGAAGAACAACATACGGTACTCTCGCGAAGATAAGAGGTAAGGGCGGGATGCGCGGGGCGGCGGAGATCAACATGGCTACCTCCGCAGTTAACGCTGATGAGGAAGACAAGAAAGACGTTACCACACTGACAGCATCTCCTTCGGTTGAAGACGACAGTCACCCGCCGTGGTCATACCTGGCAACAGTGTTTGGCTACCTTGGGATGGGGGAATATCCTAAAACATACAGAATGAAGTGCCTCTTGTGCCTACCACAGTGCCACGGGATAAAGGTGTTTAAGAACTCTCCATCCAACCTTAAGAAACACAAGGGGAGAACCATTTTTGGTTGTTTTGCTTCTTTTTATGCATACTATAAAAATACTTTGTACTTTACTTGTACTTTTGATACTTGAGTATATTTTTTCACAAGACACTTTTGATATTTAAGTACATTTAATGTGAGCTACTTTAAGACTTTTACTCAAGTGATTTTCTTATGGGTGACTTTAACTTTTACCAAAGTCATTTTCAGTGATGGTATTTGTACTTTTACTTAGTTATTTTTTTCAAGTACTTTATACACCTCTGGTTTAGCCTGTCCTGTCTCATTGTACTTCTAAGAAAGGATTTGATCCTTTTCAGTGTACTGAAACACCTCTCTGACTCTGCAGATGATGGGGGTTGTGATGGCTATTTGGGTTACTTTCAGTGTTTCAAAAAAAGTGCTCTGAAGGTTGTTCTCAGTCATTCTCAAAAGTGAGATTGCAGATGTTAAGCCCGCAAACTCCACACTGCTGTACATGACCATCAGTTTATCCCTGCAGATCACTGGGTAATGAGCACATGGAATGTCCAGCTGCTTCTGCAGGAAAGTGTTCTTAAACAGTGGAAAGATTTCAGGGTCAATATGTTTGAAAGACACCAAGTGCCTGGCTTTCTTATTATTATTATGTGACAGCACTGTGCGGCTTTTGACACATTATCAAACCACTGCATCCTGCACGGCGTTGCAGCAGCTGCAGCTGTGTCCACATCTGGATGTGGCTGATTGTCATCTGTGGTCAGAAGTTCAGATATGGATGACGGAAAATTCTTCTGGGCCTGTCTCGTTTTGAGAGACCCTGTGATCTGTTTCTGAAGAATGCTGTAGAGAATATCTACACGCATGAGGGCAGAGTGGAAAGAAGATAAAACGAAAAGAAAGCTGATGTCCCCCAGAAATGTGGACAGGATGTGTGCTTGTTGGATTGACATGCTGTCCCAAGACTGATCATCCTGTACTTTTTCAAAACACTGTTTCAAAGTGTCCTGATGTTCAAACATGGTGTGGCTGGTGCAGCTTTTAAAGTTCCACCTTCTTTGTCCTGACGCTGGGATCCTCCTGCCACACACTTTATCCAGGACTGCAGTTCTCTTGGGGGACTTGGAGAAAAACGTTGGCAAAAAATATTCTGACGGCTGTGTGAGATGATGAGGTTTAACTGGTGGGCATAGCAGTGCACAAAGTGTGCGCGAGGGAACGTTTACTTTAACCTGGCCTTTAGCACCGCTCATTACAGCTGCCCCGCCATATCTCATATGTGCGATCAGTTTGAACGTATATGGCTGCAGCTTCTCCAGCAGCAGTTATTCAAGTCCCGCCGCAGTTCTATCCACTAACGGGGAGAAACATGCCCCGCTGGAGTCAAGTGGGAGGTTCATCGGACCCCTGCAGGGCGACCTCGTGTCCCCCACAAAATGTAATACAGTCTACAATCTGTGAAAGTGAATGACTGTTTTACTTTACCGGCTTGTTGTGTCTCTGTACAGCGGCCCTCATTAAGCTGACAGGTGATGTTCACTTTAACCAGCAATGGCAACTTTACTCTATTTCCAATGTGGCTCGTGCTTCATGTTTTCTAATTTTGTCGTATAAATGTTTCAGATCCACAATTCCTTGTTGGGTCCAAACCATGTCTCCTCCAAAAAGCAAACATGGGAAACAGAAAAGTGAATTCCTAGCTACACTTGCCAGTCCTTTCCTTAAAACCACGTAACACAAAAGTTAAGATTTTGTCTTTTGGATGATGTGTCCCCAATCTCTTCACTTCCAATTTTCCCTCCAAAGACATTAAAGAAAATTAAATAATTCACCTTGTTCATGTTCATGCTAACGCCCGCCATTACTACAGTTGCTGACTTCCCTCTCTCTGCGTTCTACTACGAACGAGCCTCAATGTTCTGTACAGTGGCTACTGCGCTGTGATTGGTCGAAAGTCACTGAACTGTGGCTACTGTGCTGTGATTGGTCGAAGGTTACTGGTCTTTGTGCTGAATGAATTTAGCCCAAATGGGCAGTAAATCAAGGGGGCGTGTCACGACACCAGTCAATCAAAATTGAATGGAAGCGTACGCTACTGTGCTTGGGCTGTAAGAAATAAGTCCATTCAAAGGAAAAACCCAGGATATATCATATATCCTTTTTTTCTGTCACTGTTTGGTGCTGCTGCTGCTCTAGGTTCCACCAAAATTTAAAACAATATGTTCTAAGGTTTTTAATAATAGTTTTTCATCTTTATTGTAAAAGACGGGGGGCTTAGCCCTGATATGGAGAATCCAACCCAGACCTTATTGATTTATTACAATCTATCTATTGAGATTTTTTTTTTACGAATTTCAATATGAACACAATAATATAATAACACACACACACACACACACACACACACACACACACACACACACACACACACACACTGTACCTGCTCTTCCTCACTTTTTATCACCGCTAGATCTGCTCCTCTGTTTCTGCAGTCCTCTCTGGCTTTATCCCAGGTACCAGACTCAGTGGAGAAGAGATAACAGCGGTCCTTAAACATCTTCCATCCTTCAGAACAGTTTTCACTGTAAGATAAACATACAGACACATTACAGACCAACAAGACTCATGTAAATATTTGTGAAGTTATCTCTGTAGATGTCATTTTCAATGAATGACCCTTCAATGCCCCTCAATATATGTTCATTTGGTTGGTGATTTTTCTGTCGATATAAGAGGATTTACTGTCACAATGTAGCGCTGTGCAGAGATAGAGGCCACAGTTGTGCCAGTGGTCCATCATAATATACTGTTTGATTTAGTTGTGATTAATGAAAGGTTACGTTTGAAAGCCTGAAACTGGTTTCTCATAAAATACATTAAAATATCTTACCACAATGCAGGATGACTTAATCACTGGATTTCTGAGTAGCAAGTGAATCTAAGCACTTCATGCAAGGACTCACCCAGTTTGGACTCTGAAGTCTTTCCAGCTCTTGAGTCATTTCAGTGATTCTGGCATTCAGCAGGTCTCTCTCTTCAGTCAGGGAACAGGACTTGTTGTCACTGGCCTGAAGACGCTCAGTCAGGTTGGCTTTGATAGAGGAGAGTTCTGCAGCTGAACGCTGAGCGGAGACATGGTCTGAAATAATCAAGAAACACTTCTCTGAAACACCAGATACCTACTGGAAGATCACAAACATAAATCAGTGTGGCTTTCAGCAGTAAAGTTATGCCACTAAAATTACAATGAAAATATTTCAGTCAGACAACTCACATTTGAAATGTTTATTACAGTACTATAGTCATTTAGATTTTGGCATCTGGGCTCCAACCTCATCATTCCCCACAGATATGTTTACATAGAAATATTGGGGAGTGATGAGCAAATACCTTATTCCTAGTCAGAGTCTACAGGTGGATGCTTGGGTGGTGGTGGGGCTTACAGAGCAGCAGCAGCAATACGGATGCAGGGCAACAGCGGCATTGGCAGAGCAGAGGGAGAGCTGGGGAATTGTGCAGTTTAAATAGACCGCCAGATTGGAAGGGTGCGCTTGGTTAGTAATTATGGAGTGAGGCATGTCATGTGTGTATAGCAGTGCAGCTGGAGTTGACTGCCTGAACTAGCTGGCTTCATTCCATATTATGCTTTAAACAAACAAAATATAAATGAGAAAATCGAAAGTAAATCAAACAAAAATTTAAAAAAGTGACTGAAAAGTGAGTGATTTTCAGTGAAGAATTATCCTTCTATAATCACAATCCAGCCTGACTTTAATCTCTGGATGTGATTTAGACTCACAGTGGACACCGAGGCCGATGAGTCCAACCAGCAGGAGAACAGTGAGCAGACCCAGACAGAGAACAACAGATCCATGAAATCTCCTCTCTGAGCTCCTGGGACCTGAACACAGAAAAGACCAGTGAATACAGTAAATCATACAACAGCAGTAATGACAGGTAATAATACACATTTCTGCAGAGCTCAGTCTGTCAGCCTCTCTGTCTGAATCATTATTCTTACCTCTCTGATTCTGGGATGCTCTTAAGTCAGCACAGTCGTCATATTCATCAGTCACATAGATTTCCTCCATCGCTCATAAGAGTGCCAAATGTTCTGCTGTGGGTCAGCTCTGCAGCACAAGCTACTCTTCACATTAATGATAAAACTGTAACTGGGTTCAGTTTTCCTTTATTTACAGGAAGTCACACCTCAAAAACATAGTTTCTGAGATAATCGCCTGTCATCTCACTTGAAACAGGAACAAGAACTAGACTATACTAGAATGAATAAAATGTATACATAAATGTATCATCTTCATCACATCAAGTCCATGGACATGAGCTTTGTATTTGTAATCTTCCATCACCATGTTGAAAAAAGGAAGGTGGTTTCAGAAGACAGACCACTGATTCAGTGTTCCTGGATTGATGCGAGAAAATTCTTTGAATATAACAGTATTCTTTTGAGGATTGTGCCAAAACAGCTAAGAAATACTGTAATAACCTCATCAGTTCTCACTTCATTTTTCATTCTCTGACCTCAACCGAACTTTGTTGTCATGGCCACCGTCTTTCATTTACCACAGTTAAGGCTAGGGTTAGTAGTAGTTGTAACTTGTTGTTGCATGAACTCGACCTCAGTCATAAATCTGTTGTTCAGTTATGTTAAATACAAACATTCAGTCTAAGAGTAAAAAAATAAGCAGCATTATGGTTCCCCCAAAACATCATTTCCTGATGCAGAGTAGTTGCAGAAGGCCAGAATTTGTAAAACATAAGATTGGTCATTAAGAAAAGAGTTTTATTACTTCTCATTTTATTGTTTGAATAGCATTTTATTTTATCTCACCACTGCTGTCAACTAAAGGACACACTTACAAAGAAATAACATATTATATGTATATATTTAGATTTTTGTCTAAAGTGTACTACTAAATACTTTATTTTACTTACTTTATAATTTTCTTACACTTTGTTCGTTCCTGTTTCAAGTGATATGACGATTTCTCAGAAACTAGTTTGAGGTGTGACTTCCTGTAGATGAAGACAAACTGAACCCAGCTTCAGTTTTATCATTAATGTGAAGAGTAGCTTGTGCTGCAGAGCTGACCCACAGCAGAACATTTGGCATGCTTATGAGCGATGGAGGAAATCTATGTGAATGTTAAATATGACGACTGTGCTGACTTAAGAGCATCCCAGAATCAGAGAGGTAAGAATAATGATTCAGACAGAGAGGCTGACAGACTGAGCTCTGCAGAAATGTGTATTATTACCTGTCATTAATGCTGTTGTATCATTTACTGTATTCACTGGTCTTTTCTGTGTTCAGGTCCCAAGAGCTCAGAGAGGAGATTTCATGGATCTGTTGTTCTCTGTCTGGGTCTGCTCACTGTTCTCCTGCTGGTTGGACTCATCGGCCTCAGTGTCCACTGTGAGTCTAAATCACATTCAGAGATTAAAGTCAGGCTGGATTGTGATTATAGGAGCATCATGTTTGTTCTATGTGTCCCTTTTTGCTTGTTCAGGATTTTTCTGATCTGTTTTATTTACTGTCTTGCTTCAATTTCCACAATTACATTTTGTTCCTTTTAACCCTCCTGTTATGTTCGGGTCAAACTGACACGAAGTTAAAAAAATCAAAAAAGAAAATAGTTAAAAGTATTTTTTCGGTATGCTTCTGCTTGGCTTAATAAGTGTAATCAACATATAAAATGAAAATTGATTATTTCACTTATTTGCAACCCCCCCTGCATGTTTATATTACATAAATACTGTTCGAGTCAATTTATCCCCGGTAGTCAAAGTGGAGGCTAAAAGGGGTCAGACACAAGTGTGTGCGTGTGTTTGTGCGATTGGGGTGAAATATGTCTCACAGTTGCAAAGAAACAAACAGTATATATGACACTTCTGAATAGAGATGGGATTTATGGCTCTTTGAAGGGATCCGGATCTTGAGGAGCTATTCCTTTCAAAGAGCCGTTCAAAAGGCTCATTTTTATATCTATTTATTTTTAAGAAGCTACCAGACTTGAAGGAAATATTATTTTGACAGATGTTACGCTTTGCTTTGCCGTTTGTTTCGTCCGAAAAGTGCATCCACATGCTGCTGCGCTTTCTTTGGCTCATTGTAGCTGCAGTATTGACACTCCGCACTCACCTGAAGGCAGTGCGCCACTGTGTCGGACAACTCAGATGACGTCATGCAAAATTTGCATATCAAATTAGCATCCATGTGTCTCAGTGGAGGAGCAAAGGAGGAGCTTGTGTGCGCATGCTGTATGCGTGACAGCGATTTCAAAAAAAAGAAAAACGAAATGCTCTCAACTGCGACTCGGTTCCCATCGTTCATGTTAAAGAGCTGTTCAATAGATTTGGTTCCCCTTTTAGCCTCCACTTTGACTACAGGGTCAAATTAAGCCAAGAAGAAGTTTCATACCGAAAAAATACTTTTAACAATTTTTAAAATATTTTGTATATTATATTTTTTTAACTTTAAAGCGAGTCAATTTGACCCGAACAGAAGAGGTGTCTTATGTTAATTTATTAACATCACTCCATAAGAAAGAAAATTCAAAATGTAAAATAACATTTTTAAAAAAGTCATGTAAAACTATTGTATTTTATATGTAGGTCTTTCCAATGTACATTTAAAAAAGTTTTAACATGCATTTTATACGGAAAACAAGTGAATTATCCTCATTAAACCATGATCTGTGAGAGGTAAAGAACATCATTGCACTAAATATTGAAATGGTTAGTATTGGAGTTAATAATGAGATATAAACAGTGTTTATTGGGATATTTTAGTTTCTAACACTTTTGGATAATTAATTGGATAATTGCCCCAGGTCAAATTGACCCGGGAACATCATTGCTGTTCCTGAGAAACGAACATAACAGGAGGGTTAAGCAGTTGTGTTTCAGTATTTTGTAATTGCACACAAAAAAGCAAACACCCAAATCAAATTGAGTTTAGTGATTTCAGCATAATTCCAGCATTTATCCAATATCAACTAATTTAACAGGAGTATAATTTTCAAGACACAACAGCAGTGGCATGTTGTATCTGACAGCTACAGGTGTTTCAGAGAAGTGTCTGTTGTTTATTTCAGACCATGTCTCCGCTCAGCGTTCAGCTGCAGAACTCTCCTCTATCAAAGCCAACCTGACTGAGCGTCTTCAGGCCATTGACAACAAGTCCTGTTCCCTGACTGAAGAGAGAGACCTGCTGAATGCCAGAATCACTGAAATGACTCAAGAGCTGGAAAGGCTGACTAGTTTGGGTGAGTCCTTGTCTATAGAATCTACATTTACTTGTTGTCTAATCTAAAACATTTTTACTCAGAAATTCAGTGTTCACCCTGCAATGTGATTTAGTGGCCAGTTTCAGGTCAATATTCAATATCTCCTAAAAATAAAATATGATTATGGACCACTGTAAAACTGTGGCCTCTCTCTGTGCATGAAACTACATTGTAGACAAGGACGAAGGCTCTCTCCTGTGTAAAATAAACACACAATAGGTTTGTGTCTGTTTGATTCAGATTCCCACCACACAGGTCAAAAGTTTAAAAATCAAGCAGAAAAATCTGAATTTGGAATCTCAAACTATCCAACAAGGATAGGAGTGTAGTTTGAGGAGCATTAAATGGTCACTGATGGAAGTTCAGGAGGTTCTGAGGGTAAGGAGCGATGAACTGATGGATGTGGAGGGGAGAAGGAAGAATATGATGTCACCTGTTAGGTTGGTCTGGGAGGACGTGCTGAAGGTGTGCAGAGGGAGACTCAGTGTGGGGATTCTGTCTCAGGCGTGTTTTCTACCAGAGCTGCTTACAGGCCCCAAGACGGTACCGAGAACGAGATGTGGGAGAGGTATGCACTGATTGAATAGGAAGGGATGAGGGGAAAGAGGCTGAAGGTATGTGGGTAGAGTTTAGCAGAGGGAGGGGTAGGGTAGGATGAGGTGAATGGAAGAAGGGAAAGAAAGGGAGGGTGGGTCCAGAAAACTGAAGCAAAGGAAGGAAGGAGTTGACCAGGTATAAGAAGGTTGCCAGGTGATAAGGAGTGGTTGAGGCGTGGCCCTGCTCCTGAACCTAAGTTATCTAATCACATTCATTTCACTGAAAAAGCTGATAACTTCACAAATACATTGACACAAGTCTTGTTGGTCTGTGATGTGTCTGTATGTTTATCTTACAGTGAAAACCTGTCCTGAAGGATGGAAGATGTTTAATAACACATGTTATCTCCTCTCCAATGAGTCTGGTACCTGGGATAAAGCCAGAGAGGACTGCAGAAACAGAGGAGCAGATCTGGTGGTGATAAACAGCGAGGAAGAGGAGGTACAGTGTGTGTGTGTGTGTGTGTGTGTGTGTGTGTGTGTGTGTGTGTACAACCATGACACACGACGAAAAACCCCACAACAATTATTCTGTATCACTGTGGACAAGATGGAAAAACACATCAAGATGTCTTTCTGGAAACAGATATTACCCATCTATACAGGATTTAATGAAACCTGTTATTGTCTCTTCTTCTAAGTGATATTTAGAATGATTAGGTTACGATCATTATTGCATAATAACATAATGTGGGTTTCTTTCTGTTGAACAGACGTTTCTCTCCAAGTTCATACCCTACAATGCTTGGATTGGTTTGACTGACAGAGAGGAGGAAGGGACCTGGAAATGGATAGATGGAACTCCACTGACTCTGACGTAAGGCTTCACTTTGGTTGAATATCAATATTAACTTATACAACTATCATTTTATATTACTAGAATGTATTCGATGATGTGCATTCATAATTAACCTCACTGTCTGACAGACTTCATTGGCTGAAACCAAATAATCAAACTAACTATTTAAGGCCACATGGGGGCAGAAGAACTCCACAATAAGTTGCTAATCTCAGATCCCTGACATATTTTCACCTTTTAACCATTTTATGGCACAAGTGATGGCAAATGGCCTATTTATACATCCAGGAGACAATAGTCCATCTCTGTTTGACTCTGTAGCTGTTTATTCACCTGTATCTTTATCTGACATTTGATGGTAGTGTACAGTGTGTTTATCAGAGCACAAATTTGGTTGAAAACAGCTGCCTGCTCATGGAAATGGAGCTGATGAAAGCCTTTTTACTTTTTTAACGTTTCTGTTCAAATCTCTTCTATTCAGCGCAGATGGACAATGCAAATAAAGTCAGGTATTAATACTATATGGAGGAGACAGACAGACAGCGATGCTGTCCTTCTGATAGTGTAAGACACGTCTATGTGTCTTTCGAGAGCAGTGCTTTCCAACCTGTGGGTCGCCAAAGCTTCACAGGGGTCGCAAGGCCTTCTTGATTTTAAGGTGTATCAGAGGTGTTCATTTCTGTGAAGAAAAGTAAATGTAAATTGTTAAGTACATTGTCTAACAGAACAATGGCAAAGCATCAGGGAAAGCACTGAATTTGTCAAGAAATCACACCATTGAGTCAGTTTGATTGTTAAAAATAAAAATAAAAAAACATAATACAGAGAGAGAATTGTATAAAAAAACAGAAATTTATTTGAATCACTTGTTTTACACAAACGTCTTGCAGTTACTGAGTTCATTATTTGGGTTAATTGTACAGTTTTGTATATAAAATGAAATATCCATGGCTGATGGGTCTTGGTGATGAAGTTGTTTAAGGACTGTGTTCATGTCGGAGATACAGTGTCATGATTCTGTCGTTCTCTATCCCAGTAGGTACTGGGGACTACATCAGCCTGATAATGGTGGTGGAGACCCACTGTGGGGTGAAGAGGACTGTGCACATATCAGAACTGAGGTTTCCACTCACTGGAATGATCTGTCCTGTGAAGCTTCTCTGCGATGGATCTGTGAACAAACAGCATAACACTGCTGTATAAATTGTTCTTAAAATTGTAATCTATTATGTCAATCTAATACGTCAACTTGCATGTTTGTAAAAAATGTGTTTGAGTGTTTGACTGTGCTGAGCACAGTGCTATTGTATGTATTCAAACACCTTCAAATCACAGCTGTAGCTAAATATTGACGTGCAATATTGGAATGCCCCTATAGTAGTTAATGATTAAAAATGTCTTAACTGTATCTTTCCCTTTTTCTAATAACCAAAATAAAATATTAATAGTACATAATTTCAGATTATTTTGTTGGTGACCCTATTCGAATCTGGCTACTTTTTTCGACTGAAAATGGAAGTTGGAGTAGTTTTCCTTGTGATCCAGCAGATAGCGCTGTACTATGAGGATGAGCAATGACATGCCCTATTGAGCTGTCAGTAAACTAGACTAGTAATGTAATGTTCCTGAATGGACAGTCACGACCCCAAAGCATTGGAGAAGCAGTGTGCTTCTGTCGACTAGGGACAAATCAGCTGTCCAACTCTACAACTCCAAATCCGCAAACTTGCTAACGTAGGCCGCCTCAGTGAGGCAGCAGAGCGGCGGCACCACAGACAACCTCGTCTGACTGCTATTGTTCAGCACACTCGGCTTCAGCGGGTTGCTTGATCACCATCACCAATAAGACAGCAACATTAATATGCAAGGATATGCAGCCCATTGGTGTGGTAAGAGCGAATGTCTTATCCTATAGTCTTTATCTTATGCTTTCCTCAGCGGCACTTTCCATTTGTTCTGTGTTTTGAGATTATTTTTCCAAATTCATTGAAACGAATTGTGTGTCATTTGAAATTTGTTCAAACCTGATTCGTAAGTGTTGGCCTTACAAGGCAGTGTGGCCAGCAGAGGTAGTAAGGAAGAGTGGGTTAGCAAGGTGGGGCTAATTTTTGCGGTCCAGTGTGTGGAATATAATATTCATTGGTATGTTTTCATTAGTGTATAATCATGAAAATAGTAGTTGTTGTGTTTTTGTTACTTTAGAATGAGTTGTTTTTATCTACAGATGCCTGCCATGTTTCTACTGTAGCCCAGAATGGACAAACCAAACACTGGCTGTAAATGGGGCCTTCTGTGTTTTTCAGCCACCATCATTTCTCATACACACTTCACAGCCCTTTCTCATTCCCAGGTCATTAACTACAGACGCTGGCAGTGTTCAGTTAGTTGCAATTTGCAACTTCACCACTAGATGCCACTAAATCTTACCCACTGGACCTTTCAGTGTGTCCATATCCAATTATTATCCAGGCTGATTCATACTGTCACAGACCGGCTGGGGGAAGGGGAAAAGAGGAGAGTACAACACATGAGTTTTTAACTAAATACTTATTTCACAAAAATATAAGGAAATAATGATAATATAAAGTATGTCAATCAGTGCGTCAGTAGTGTTTGACGCGTTTGTATGAGTGACAGTGAAGTATAATGAATAAAGAAAATGAACACCAAGAAAAGTTAAACCCAAACAACAAACCATATGCCCAGAAAGAGAGAGAGAAACTGACTGACTCCTCCAGCTTATAAAGCTGAGGAGCAGCAGGTGCTAATGCACTTCCTGCTTCCCTCCTAAAAGGGAAAGACAGCCCAAACAGGAAGTCAAGAGGGCTGTCACAATACAGTTGTGTTTTCACCAAATAAACTGACCATAAACATGATGAGAGTGCTGAGCTGATGACCTGTTTCTGGAAAAGAAATCCTTATTTTACATTACATTACCTTATTTATACCTTACATTACAGTCAGCTTGGAAAAACTTGTCTCTAGGGAAGTAGCGGTGTCCACCATGAGCTGGAAGCCTTCCTCGAGAGCTCCCCCCATGGCGCCCTCTTCTTCTGGAGGCTCTGTGTGCTGCTGCTGCTGCTGCTGACGTGTCTGCTGACGTGTCTGCTGTTTTTTTGGAGGAATCCTGTATTGTCTTTTTCTTCTGACACAACATGTAAGGTTGGTTGAGCGGTGAAGGTCAGTCCAAATGTATTTATTTCTAGTGATTATGGAGAGTGAGGTATGTCACATGTGTATGGAGGTGCGGCTCGAATTGACTGCCTGAACTAGCTCCATGTATCAAAGCGAAAGAAAATCAACTCTGTTCTGGGCTAAGCCCCTTTTAAACTTGGGCCCCTGGCAGCCAACAATCCCTGTGGCCTGCTCGCCAACATCATCTGGCAAAAAGTATCCCCTGGGAGAACCCTCAACTCCTGTTTATATAGCCTGTGGCTCCTCCTACCCCAGGAAGTAATGATTAAGGAATCAATTAACTTATAGCACACATTTACCTGATAGCCAATAGATCATTTTAGAAGTCAACAGTGGAAAAAGTGTGACTGTAACAGTGACTGAGGTGGACAAGCACTCTATGTTGTGTCTTATTTAAGTTACAGGTCACGGGGCATCCCTGTGACACACTGCACTATCTATATATCAGTCTGTCTGTGTCTGACTGAACATTCTTACCTGTCTGGTTTCTAAAGAGTCTTGAGTCAACAGGTTTGTCAATAGATTTCCTCCACTGAGGATGTAAATGACTGAACTCATTCTTGGTGGTTTTTATGGTTTCCTTGAGGTTTATCTTTTGCAGAAGTAACAAGTGAAAAAAGTACCTGATGACTATTGTCTATTGCAACACTTAAAACAGGAACAGTTTGACAACAATGTAATGCTTTGTTAAATGATCTAGTACAGAAGTCAAAGGTCATTTTCAATTACATTCAATCAATTACAGAAGTCTACTGTATAAATCGTTATTTGTCATTAGGTTTTCTGGTGTGGACTGTGTAATGTCATAGTAATTACTTTGATTTCATTTAATTATGGGTTCATACTTTTTAGGTGAATTGACAAAAGCAGTGAATGTGACAGTAAATGTCTTCCTCTATTCAATAACTGTGGAGGAAAGCATTGAGTCTGTTTATTATCCTTATCAGTGCATTCAGGGTCAAACATTATAGTTAATTAATTAACATTAGCTACAACACTTGGGGGAACATTAAGTTCCATTGCATACTGGATGGTAGTCATCAGCCATACATCTGTATATACATGCTAAAAATCCCATTTTGTTCCAAAATTGTCCAAGTTAAAAAATCCTAGTGAGATCTAAATTCCTGGTCTCCTTTCCTTTATAGTCCATGTTGATGTACATTATTTCTCTCTTTCTATTTACACGTACAATGATGCAATTAAAGGCCTTTTGAGTAATCATAACTTACATAACAAAATTATTTATAAACATATTGTTTAAAACCTCAAGCCATTTTTTCACAGATCCATTTCTGAGCATCCTCACACCGCCGATCATTCCAGTTTCCTTCAGTTTCCTTGCCAGCTATTACAATTGCACAGTCCTCTTCCCCCCACTTTGGATCTCCAGCACCACTGTCAGGCTGCCCTCTCACCCAGTACCTAGGAGGTTATTGAGCAGGTGAATTTTTAACAGCATTTACGACTTCCCAAAAAATAAATGATTGCAAGTTTAACATTTTCTGGTGTATTAATTTAAGTATTATTTTGTCTCCACCCACTGAAGTCAACCAGTGAGTTTTTCTGCATGTAGAGCAGCTACTTTAACATGAAAGGTTGAAAATTAAGTTCAGTCTGACTCTGATAACAGTTATGATACAGTCGTACACAAACAAATGTAGTAATGTACAGCAAGAGTTGTATATGTGCCTATATTCAAATAAGGTGTAGAACATTTACTGAATTTACTGTATGCCTTACGCCAGAGTCAGTGGAGTTCCATCAGTCCATTTCCAGGTGCCCTCATTGTCTCTGTCAGTCAGACCAATCCAGGTGTCCTTCCTGATGTTTTTAGTGACAAACTCCTGTTAAAGGTAAAGGAAAGAAATCCCATCTTTAGTTTGAACCTTATTATATATATATAATTATATTGATTAATTTCAATAAGATCCACTAACATTCACTATCACTATCTATGTCTACATTTGCATCATCTATACAGCTTGAAATGGACATAAAAGTTCATTCACACATATGTAGATGAGGCAAACTTCAACCTGAAGGAGGGGAAGGAATCTGATCTTCCAGACTGATATCTGTTCTCTTTTTATTCCAAGATTCAATGGATTCATCCATAGAAGTGAGGAAAATGACATTGCTCCCATTCAAATCAACCCAACGATGATTACAGATTATAAGAAAATGAAATATATTCTAATAAAAAAGTATGATGAAGAGTAGAAATCATAGTCAGTGGTGGAAGAATCTGCTGCATCTAAAAGGAAAAACTGCACACTACCTGTTCTTCAGAACTGTCTATGATCACCAGATCTGCTCCTCTCTCTCTGCAGTCTTGTCTGCCTTCTTCCCAAGAATGAGAATTATTGGAGAAGAGATAACAGGTACAACTGAACATCTTCCATCCTGCAGGGCAAGTTTTCTCTGTAAAATGAACCAAACAAAACACAGTAAAGATCAGAAAAGACCCATGTTCTTCTATTTGAAAGGGTGAGATTAAATATATGTTCTGTGGATGACAATGTTTGTGTACACGGGCATTTATGATATAGTGAATAATGAATAAAAACAGGCCTTACCCAGAATGTAACAAAATAACTATTACAGCTTTATTAAAATGTCCCTTTGTTCCTAGTGCAGTTAATGTGCTTAATAGTGTGGACCTGATGTCACCAACTGGTTTGTGGAGTGCTGTTTTGAAGGATGTTTCTGAAACTATTTTTAGCAAGAAATTGATAATTATTTCATTATATTGATCAGCACTGCCTAGTTTGACAGTTTGATCTGAGTTTGGTGCGTTCAGCTGGACAGACTCACTGAGAATGAGCTGTCAATCACAAGGTAGCCACACTCTAAAGCGTACTCTGCTCTAACGTCTGTTTTACTCTTAATGGGACCATCATTTATTAAATTAACATCATTTTGCATTAAGAGGACATGAAACCAGCAACTGAGACCATAAATTAATTAGGAAACTGTTTACTGAGCTAATAAATCAAATGAGACTCCCTACTACTGGACTCTTTTGCAACCTGTGGAGCTGCCCCCCTGCTGGCCATTACATAGAATGCAGGATACTTTGCGTTGGCTTCAAGTCACAGGCCTGCAAGCTCTGCCCTTTATATATACTGTCAATGCACTGACCATCGACTTCTCAGCAGCACTTATCATGGCTACCATTATTATAGTTGTACATTCTAATAGTACTTTTAATTAACTTGAATGCTGTGTCTACTATGAATCAAATTTACCCTTGACATAGAATAAAGATCTAAACTGGACTCAGATGACGCATGTTGTATATAAAATTGTCGCAAGCAAAAATAGTTACGCATATAAAGAAGATGCATTATTATTTGGAAGGATCACAATCTTATAAGGAAGTGAAACTCTTTAAAGTGGCCACATTTAAAACATTTGAAAACTCTGGGGTTTAACAAAAATAGATACTAATAACATCTTAAAGTGGAAAAGGTGCCTTATACATAATCATTTGTGAATATACAGTCTACATAGTGTGATGACACAGGTTCATCACTAAACAGTCTGCATCCTGTGCCTTATTGAAGTGACAGCTATGAGCCTATTTACTGTCTCATTTACAGTAAATTGTGCAATTTTACAACAGCAATGAGACCAAGAAGATGTTCAAATAAAGTTAATAGTTAAGTTTGGACAAGGTGATGTAAGTGTTAAACATATTCTCTGAATCGTGCTATTCTGTACTCGAGGCTGTGGTGAGTCCTGATCTCTATGTTGAGAGACAGCTGTGCAGAACCCACATAGGCAAACACTCACTCTGTTTGGGCAATCTCTGAAGCCTGTCCACCTCTTTAGTCATTTCAGTGAGGCTGGCATTCAGCAGGTCTCTCTCTTCAGTCATGGAGGACAGCTTGTCATTGATGGAGAGTTCTGCAGATGAGTCATGGTCTGAAATAAATACATGTGTGTTTTTAGATACATGTTTCCTCATCTGAAAATACCTAATTCATTCTGACTGAAGTTTCTATAACAATGTTCATAAATCACGTTTTCTGCTTATGCAATCTGTTAAATGTCAGCTTGCCTTCCCAGTGAAATGCAAGACTCTGCCAACATCCTTCCCAGTTTTGACCAGATTTCTCTGACAATTTGAGCCCCTGTGGATCCCCACTATGGAGAACAATATGTCTCTGACTGTTACTGCTACTTGCAAGCCATAGCTATAAAAAGAAACGGTGTATGGGTGTCACTGTGGACGGACACTGCCATCACATCATCTTGGGTCAACCAGATCAGGAATATCCAGCTTATCTGGATCTTTCTGGCCAAACTGGTTCAGGAAGACCACCATCTTAATGAAGCAGCAGGTCAGGATGAAGGACCTGCTTTTGTCTTTGTGAGAGAGTCTGTGGAGCAACTCTTTGAAGTTGTCTGTGGCAAAATTTTGCAACTCTGTTGCCATTATTTTATAATGCTCCTTTTTTAGTAACCTGGTGTCCAGCATAGGACTACAGTCAAGAGGTGAAAGCCACTATTGTGGAGTGTACTCCAACATGCAAATCAGCAAGCATGAACTCATTAACACTAGCATGGGCTTCAAATTCATCCAGAAGTGGAGTTTTGGACGCGGTAAAAGTCCATATGGGTGTTTTCATGGACATCTTTATTGTGTTGCTGCAACTGTCCGCTCTGTTGATGTAAAAAATGGTGACATTATTCTGGGATTTTCTTACTGGGACTCTATTGCTGCTCTATGAAAGGAAGATGCCAGGGGTGCCAAATGTGGCACAGTGGGACGAGACAATTAAACAGTTTTTTGTTCATTTTTGCTGCTCTAGCTGCTTGAATGTGACTTTTTACCATGGGTGGAAAAATTCATGGTTCGTACAAAATATATTCTTATGATGTCAGTGTTGCTTCTGTGATGCTTTTCAAAACAGACAAAGTGCTATAAAGACAATGAGTAAAGGAAAAATACATCACAGAAAAGCCAGGATGGCAAACAGACATTTTGGTAAAACAAGCAGCTTTAGAGCAGAACAAAGCTCCTAAATGCTCCAATGCTCCTAAAAAAACACAATTCAAACTGAAGTTAACTCATTAAAACCAGACTCACAGTGCACACTGAGGGCGATGAGTCCAACCAGCAGGAGAACAGTGAACAGCCCCAGACAGAGAACAACAGATCCATGAAATCTCCTCTCAGAGCTCGTGGGACCTGAAAGATCAGTGAATACAGTCAAGTGTACAATATTAATAATGACAGATGATAATATGTATCTGTGCACAACCTCTCAGTCTGACTGAACGGTCTTACCTGTCTGATTTGCTAAGGGTCTTGGGTCGACGGGTTTATATTCAACTTTGACATAGATTTCCTCCATTGCTCATAAAGTCACCAACTATTTCCTAGAGAGTCAGCTCTGCAGCACGGTTACAGCACAGCAGAACGATGATATAAGTCAACAATTTCTCTGCAACTTCTGAGGAAGTCACAAGTTTCAGAGGTGATAAAAATAGTTTGTACAACAATTAACCAACTGAAACTCGATTTCTTTTCACACGTGTAATGATAGTCACATGAACAGATACTGTACATAAGAGTGAAGTCCCTAGATACACTGTATACACTTTATTTTAAGCTTGCACTGTTGAAGAAGTTAGCTGAATTGGCGACTTCAAATGACCTCTAATGAGGAGAGAATAAATAAATGTAACACCCCTCAGAGAGGAATGATTGAGTCGCTTTATTTTATATTAACATTCTCAAATTTAATTTACCCTAAAAATGATATGTAACCCTTTCAAACACCACTGCAACATGTATATTGGAAAAATTCAGCAAAGGACAAAAATATCACGTCTTATCAAGGTCTTGTGAGTTACCAGGTAAGACAAAACGCCAAGGTCGCACTAGTGTAACTAGCAAGGCTATTTTGGGAAATGCTCATTTGATTTCTTGCTTTGAGTTCAATGAGAATGAAACATTATTAAGGACTGGAAGCAACAGGGAAACCCCTTGTGTGAGCTCAGCACTTACCATTATCCAGCAGCGAGTTCTATCTTCAGAGACATTCATGTGATCCAACACGACGTCTTTAGTCAGCCCAGGAAAAAAGACACGTCTTCCCAGGGTGAAATCAACGTTCAAATTTTGTTGTCTTTTTGTCAAGTATTTCTATGGATTGACACAAAATTTGGTCCAAGATGCATCAACTTACTGACCCATGAGGTACAACCACACTGAGTTTACTGCTCCTGTAATGATCTCTTGAAGATGATGATTACAGTCTCACTGGAATATCAACTCCCACCATAACAAAGAACAACAAATGACCACCAATACACCAAGTCTCTTGTGTGTAATTCACTTTTTGTCAAAAACAGGTATTTCCTACACAAACCACTGGTCATCAAAGTAAAGTAATGGATCAGTTGCTCTGTCAGCGACTCTATTAACTATTAACATCAGTCTTATTGTTGTCCCAACAATAAGTTCCTTGAGCTAAATCTTGTCAAAGGACATCTACTGCACACACAGTTCCTGGTATTTATTTTGCTTTTGGTAAGAACACATAATATAATCTTCTGTAATAACAGACCTGCCATTAGGTTTGCTAGTTATATCTTATTTGACAGGCATCAATACACATAATGTGAGATTGTTATTGCCCTCATTGTTACTTCAGGCTAACACTATCAGCACTAAAACAGGCCAACTTAGTGACAATGACAGAAAGTAATTGTGTAAACTATCACCTTAAAACACATTCTTAATATCTAGGAAGAAAAAAAACCCAGCAGAGTGCAATTTATGCATTTATTCAAACTTTATTTTTAATGTTTGAATGGTGCTGATTAATCAAAAATGCTGATAAAGTTCTGTGTGAAAAGGCTGAAATAAAAAGCAGCAGTAGTAGTGAATAACTGAGGCATGTTGAACGCTGTGTTTTATCCTTGATGGGAGTGAATATTTGTTTCACACTTTGATCATGATGTTTTTTAGATGGCTAGGTTAACAAGTTCAACCAAACAAATGTATTATTAACAGCTTAGTTGTTTATGAGAGGAAAAACAGACAGTATTGGATTGGTGTCAGTATTGGCACGTATCGGTACTTTTTTCATGTCCGTCTGTATCAGACATGAAAAAGTGGCATTAAGCTGTCCCTGTTTTTCCATTCTATATTCATTCCCTGTAATTTACTACTACTACTACTACTACTACTACTATCATTGTATTTTTTTCAGTTTGATCTTATAACATACAATGAAGTAATAAAAGCTGGTTGTATATGTAAGTCAAGTTGTAGGCCTCACAGTGACACTGTCCCTGCCTTAAGCCTCTGTCATAGACACAAGTAAACTTAAAAAGAAAACCCAGTTACCCATATACATGGCGGAGAAATGAGCTTTCTCCAGGAGAAGTTTCGCTGGAGAAATCTCAAATACCTTACCCCGATTAAAGAAACTGTTTTGTATTTTACTTACTGCAGAATTGCAACTGTATCTTTGTTATTTAGTTACAACTGACCTTCCTAAGTTCTGCACATTTTGAAAGCTCGGTCAGCTTCTCCTTTCCTGTGCTTAGATATGCTTTGTGTTAGGCTTGTCTATGTTGAATAGACAACCACATTCTAAAGATGGTTAGAAGATAAAAGTGACGTTGTTGTGTTCTTTGTTTGAGAAAGGACCTTAAAGGAAGTGTAGTCCTCAACTTCTTTTATTTGAGAGAATAAGTAAACAACACAGCTGTGGGTCCGATCTGCTTCACTCGAAAGGTCCGCAGGATCAGGCACCAGGAGCACAGTCTGCTCCCTCTTTTTTATGAGTTTGTTATTCTGGGTGTCATCCTTCCTGATTAGTACATGTGTCACTATCTTTATTGGTCCTTATTTTGGCAGAGGCGGTTTCTTTGTATAATTCTGCAATGACCACTGTCCACACTCTGCCCATCACCTCCCAGGCTGGAGGTACTAAAATGTAATCAAAAAGGACAAAGGGTGCGCTTACTTACAGTGGGTGCTTCACCAGCTTATTGATTATTTAATTTAATTTTGAGTGAATGACTAAGGCTCAGTGTGTTTCTCATTTAGAGACTATTCTAAAACCTGCAGGCAAAGGTCACCAAGATAATCAGGAAGGACCTGTGACTGTGTCAGCAGAATATTTCCCTACACAATGCCTGTTTTGTTTCCAACACCCAGTATAACAAACCCTCGTCACATGTTTTATTGTACAAATATCTCACAACGTATATATAGTCATATATTAAGCTAACTAACTAGCTAGCTAGCTAAAAACTGGCCATCTAACTAGATGCTAGCTAATGACTGATGTACACTAGCTAGCAAGTAAGCTAGCGTTTTGCTAACATTAGCTAGCGAACGTAAGAGGTGACAATATATGTCGCGTTTATCTTTTAGCTATCTTCAAAATGTGGTTGTCTTTCCAGCATAGACGAGCCTAGCACGTAGCGTATCTCAGCACAGGAAAGGTTCTGATCAATGGCTCAACTGCTATTGGAGTACAGAGTTAAAAGGGGCGGGGCTTAGGAAGGTTTAATTGAAGACACTGACAGTTCAAAGTACTTTACATTGGCCAAAGAAATGGGTCTACGTCTAAAAAGATAATCTCATCCCCTCACACCATCTTCTCCTCCAGCTGGCCCGCTTAGTGGACCAGTAACGGGGCAGCGGTCTTCTGCAGGTTCAGACCACTGAGAGGTGAGAAGGGAGGGAGGCCTTCGTAGCCCAGCAGCTGACGCGTGGAGGATTCCCAGCTCCGCCCAAACTCCAGCCGGCTGTAGACACATGGGTACTGCCGGTCGGCCCAGCAGACCCAGTCCACCGCTCTCTTCAGCTCCTCCCACCGCTCAGGCCTAGAAGAAAAAGTCAGTAGTTACCAAAAGAGGTAGCCGCTCTGGGAACAGTGACAGCTAAGTTTACAAAAATCATCCAGAGAAACAGACAATTTGGATTGATCAAATGCGGTGTTTTTGAATGACATTTTAAATCTACTGTAGGTTGTAACCCACATGTGATTCTAACTGAACCTCAGGCTCAGAAAGATTTGCTTCATCAACATAAGAACACTTGTTTTTGTCCTCATGTGTCCTGGTTCGAACATTCCCACAAATACCAAAAAAGTGAACACGCCATCTTCATGTCGTTTCGTCTGGTTTTGGACAGACCTGGTCTGAGAGGAGTCGTCCAGGCAGAAGAGGGTGCGCAGAAGTTTGCCTTCCTCAAGCCTTTTCACCCTCATCAGCTGCAGAACCAGAAGAGTCGCCACCAGCTTTAGGATGTCTGCATGGGCCCTCGCACCTACAGCATACACACACACAGGGATCACAGTTATTACAGTACAGTACAACTGCAACGATTGGTCCATACGTGGTCATTTACTAAATTAATCGCCAAATATTTTGATAATTGATTTTATGGAAGTCGATTTTAAAGGAATGCACACAAATTCTTCAGTTCAGTTTCTCAAATGGGAATATTTTCTGCTTTAATTAATCCTCTTTGACAGTAAAGTGAATATCTTTGTGTTGTGGACAAAACAAGAAGAAAAAAATTCTAGCCCTTGGACAACTAGTTGAGGACTATGTACATAATACCTTATGGTACATTAACTTAAGTGAATGATGTTAACGGTTCTGTCCCCACTGTATATTCCCAATCTTACAGTCCCAGAAAGGTTGGTTCAAAATGGTCTGAAATGACAAAGATATTAAGACTCTGAAGGCCTGAAACTGATTTTAGGAGTTCTCACCTAGAGAATGGATGCCCTTGCTTTTCAGGAACACGTTGGCAAAGAGATCTACATCGACGTTTATTAATTCTCCCAGCTCTGTGGTTAACTCCCAGTAGCCCTCCTGCAACACACAGATCAAAAGAAAATTCAATTCCTATGCAAAGTGGCAGCAAAACATTAATGTCCAACTTCCCTCAGGACTGCCAGTATGAGCATGCATGTTATAGTAAAGGACAGCACAACCTTAAAATAAAACAAACAAGAAACAGTAGTGCAAGTTGTTTTGGACAACAGTATCCACTAAATCGGTAGTTCCCAACCTGGAGGACAGGACGCCCACGTGGGGTCACCAAAGCTTCATGTAGTTGGGATTTTAAGGGTTGTAAGAAAACTTCAAAAATACACACAGTAAGCCTATACCTCAGCTTTGTATTAATTTCTGTGAAAAAATGCAATTTCTGATGATCCGATATTTATTAAAGTTTAATTTTTCAAAATTTGTTTTTTTTATTTAAGATCTAAACTTTGAAGAACTGAACACAAGCTTTATTAACAGAGCCTCCACTCTGATAAACAACCAAACATCCAATAGAACAATGAGAAGAAAAGACTGAAAGAAGCCTTTAAGTACGTAGGATTGTTAAAAAAACAAACATAATATAGATGCTAAAGTTCCTACACTATCAGCAAAACTCATCTCTGTTGCAATACTCAAGGAAAACGGTTGGAAACCACTGCACTGCACATTCTATCTTGCCAGCAGGAACTGAGAAGGCTTAAATTAGGGAGTAGGCACGAGTAAACCAGCATACACAATATCAGGACCCTGGAGTTGCTACACTGGAATGAAAAGAAGCTATTATTTGTGTTCTTAGTTTCATCTGTGCAAGTGCAGCATTCAAGCAGATCCAATGAAATTGTATCACATCTTACTGAATGCTGCATCTGGAAGATCTTTGTCCATCTGAGCTTCAGTGCTTCAGAACGTGCTGTCCTGAAACAACATGATCAAAACAGGACTCTCTAAGTGAATACTGGCAATATTATATATTATTATAAATACCCACACGTAACCACACACACACTTGAGCTGACTCTCTTTCTTCCACATGCATAGATACACATACACAAAATAACTTTCAATCCACTAGTCAGTTAACATAGAGATAATGGATTCTGTTTTTCATTTTGTCAACCAAAGCTTGCAGCCATTTTAAATAAGCACAGCAACAATTGTCTTACAATAATTATTATCAGGGTTGAAGGATATCTTAAAACAAGTAAAAGTTTTGGGACTTACTCAAAGAGTGGATATTTTGCTGAACGCTGAGGTCGAGAGAACTCCATTCGACCAAATAGAGCTCGGGTTCTCCTTTTAGTAGCTGTGATATCAGAGAATGATGATGCTTTGCTTGGACCAATCAGATTATCTGCAGACTTTGCAGATGCACCGGAGAACATGGAAGTCCTTATTAACTGGTGCCTGGTAGGTTGAGAAGCTCCGAAGAGAGTGCCACAAGGAGCAGAAAAACCCTGAGCAACAATGGGAGCACCAATGGATGGAGGAGGAGGAGGACGAAGAGGAAGAGGAGGAGGTGAAGAAGGATCATATGAGAAAGACTGACCAACAATGGGAGAACCAATGGATGGAAGAGGAGGAGGACGAGGAGGAGGTGAAGAAGGATCATATGAGAAAGACTGACCAACAATGGGAGCACCAATGGATGGAGGAGGAGGAGGAGGAGGAGGAGCATGTGGATGTTGAGAACGATCCATTGAGACAGCCTGAGCACCCATAGCCCACACATGTTTTTTAAATGAGTGCCGAGTAGCAGAGTGAGCAACATAGAGAGGGAGAGGAGGAGGTTTGAAAAGATTAGATGGGACAGCTGGAGCACCAATGGAAGGTGGTGGAGGAGGAGGATGTGGAGAACTATCGATTGAGAGAGCCTGAGCACCCGTAGCACTAAGAGTAAGTGAGTGTTGCCGAATAGAGGACTGAGGAGGAGGTTGAGAAAGATTAGCTGGGACAGCTGGAGCACCAGAGGAAGGTGAAGAACGTCCGGATTTAAACACAAAACCACTTTGGCTAAAAGACAGTTCAGAGTCATGGCATAGGCTGGTTTCAGAGTGACACAGAGGAAGAGGAGAATCATAGATCATGTAGCACATGGACCAGGTCAAAAACTGCAAAAGGAGAGATAAAAAGACAACGTTAAGTTAAAACTCCTCGCGTGCGCTTTTTAAACACCACCACCAGTTCATTGTACTTAACACACAAAAATCAGTTTTTAGATTAATTCTACCAAGCAAACTTTTGAAGGGGCCTTTGTGAAGCACATGCAGGAGGAACATAGTCTTCATCAATGACTTTACACATGAACTCATTACAGATGAGTGGTGCAGTGTGCATTGTCCTGCTTAAAAATAATAGGTGTGATGCCACACAAGGACGTGTGATGCTAATTTAGGACTGGTCAAGCTATTAAGTGTTATTTATTTGTTTATTTTTCCAGCTGTCCATGCATTCAAATGAGCAGCTTGAGCTAGAAATGCATTTGTTGTCCTTCCAAAAGAGCAAATATGCAGCTGTGGTTTGTGTGTGAAGGCACAAACCTGATCCTGTACAAAACCCATGTCTGGCATCCCAAAATGAGAATCCTCAGAAAGATCGTCATCCGCGTCACTCCACTCATCTACCCCTTCTTCACATTCGTCGTCTGATTCTTCTTCTTCGCTCAACCAATTCCCACAACCATCCACCATTGTCGCATCCCAGTCTATATATTCCTCATAGTCCATATATTCCTCTTCACTATCTTGAGGAGAAATCCAGCTGACGTACGGAAGGAAGTCCACATCTTCCTCTGCGATCAGCTTGGGGATGTCAGTGAAGCCCTCTGTTTCTTCTGAATCCTAAAACAAGGTAGATGAGTTTGTTTTATTTAGGAGCTGCAAGGTTTCAGTGAGTCTGTTTAGCAATTAGTATCATAGTTAATTAGCCCTGAAACAGGACCCTGCTAGTTCCCAGCAACGTCCCATTTGCCTTTTTTTCAGCAGGGCGGTCAAGTTATGGGTCATCTCAACCCATCATAAGCCTAACTGAGCTCACTCCTGATTCCTAACCGCCCTAACAAAGACTACGAGCATCAGCCAATCAGAGTCAGATTAGGGTGGGTCATGTGCACTGGGCTGCCAGTGGCCGCTGGCTGTTTTAGAGAGTTGACTTCTGGTAGTGTAATGTTAACCAGGGCCAGCTAAATGTTAGCAATGTGTCAGCAAACAGTTAAACAGCATACAGGGTTAGTAGCACTCAGCTGTTGAAAAATAATAATATATATCTGATCAATACTTGATATCGGCCAACATGCAAAGATCACATATCTTTGATATACGGAATTGGTATCAGTGAGGAAAAATAGTATCAGAAAGTCTCTAGATAACATAAATGAACATTACACAAACCCTTTCCTCGATGGCCACAAAGCTGGTGAACTGAGACAGGATGGAGAACTCTTTGCTCAACTCGACGATGAAGTTCTTCAGCTCTGCTTTCTTCCCCTGGAAAAGCAAAAATCCACGTTACATGCGTGGAGCTCAGACTGGATGTCTAAACCGAGGCAGGTTGCTTTTGGTCTCAATCAATGACACATGCAAACACACCTCATGTTCGGCTTCACTGTTGTCCAGGCTTCCGTCTTCATAATCCCTGATGAGGGCCCTTGCTGTGAGCTTGTGAAGAAACTGAACACACACATCAGTAAACATTATGATCCTCTTCTTCATCAAATCAACAAACAGATTCATGTTGTGACATTTAACATGTACAGCAGGTACTGCTGTTACTGGTGAGTATGAATGTGTGTGTTCTTACTGTGCCCCTGGTCTTCTGCAGCTCACTGGTTGACACCATGGTTTTGAGCTCCTGGCCACACAGGTTTCCAAGGAGGGTGGCCTGTATGAAGTTTAATCATTTGAGTCAATATGCCAATATTTAATGCTTTATACTTTTAAATCTTAAGATTTAGAAGCAAACAACTTTTTACTTTGTATTTGCTGTGCTATGTTACAAAAAGCTCCATACCAAATGCAAAAACTTGTAACACCTCTTACACTGGAACTATATCAGTTATTGTTGTCTGTACTGTTGCGTGTCATTTATTCTAGTTTGAACTGTGATCAGTAGCGGTTTTTGGGAAGGGGCGAAGTGGGCAGCCGCCCAGGGCAGCATTTTTTCATGACATATGGGGGGACGGCATGAGCACTTAAAAAAAATAAAAATCCTCTGCGCCGTGAAGTGGTTTTCTATTATCTATCTGTTCTATAATATCACTGTGTGGGGAATTGGCGCCCCTGCTTGCTGAGAAGCTGCCATGCACAGAAGCTGTGTGAGAAGGGGGAGGGGGGCAGGGAACAGTTCACCTCTGGGTCTCCCTCATGGAACGGGGAAAGTCAGTCACACCTCGACTTTCTTCCAAATAACGCACATTATATTCATTATATAATAAATACAGGCCTATAGTTCTATGGAGTTAGATTTGTGTCTTTATTACATGCGAGAAAATAAATGACCTGAGAGAAGAAAAAAATTTTCAGAGAAAAAAAAATCACACTGATAGCAAAAAATAATAATTTTTGAGACTAAAAAAAGTTGAAAGAAAGTATTTTCTCATAGAACATAAAAAATTTAAAATTATTTCTGAGAAAAAAAATCTCTTTTAAAAATATATTTTTTGCTATCAGTGTGAAAACATTTTCTCCCAAAAAAATGTGTTTCTCTCAAAACGTTTTCCTCTCTCTCTCAAAACCTAAGTCTTTGCTCCGATGCAGTTTCTTGCTCTGTGTCAGGATTTTGCTCTCACTGTGAAAATAATGTCATGGGCGGGGCCACGTTCCTATTGGCCAGTCGGGTGAGAATCATCTTGGGAGTCGAACTGAATCACTACACCATCGTCGATTCACCGGCATAGACGCGCTGCCTTAGTTGAGCGCGGAGACTCCAATGTTTGGGTAAGATGATGACACACACAACTCGATGGGCAGCTAGCTGAGCAAGTTAATCAAAATCATTCCCATCATAGGAACGACTGTGTAGCCCCAACAGGTTAGAGAGTAACAGATCAGAGGTATTAAAGGATGTTTAACTGGTTAGAGAGTAACAGATCAGAGGTATTAAAGGATGTTTAACTGGTTAGAGAGTAACAGATCAGAGGTATTAAAGGATGTTTAACAGGTTAGAGAGTAACAGATCAGAGGTATTAAAGGATGTTTAACTGGTTAGTAATGTGGAGTTCAGCTCAGCTAACATCACTGAAGATTAAACATTAAACAGGCTATCCTAAATGGAAGCTAGTTTGCCATTACTGATGTGTTTGTCAGATTGTCATGGACAAAGAATAGCACTCATATTCATGAACGTGTATTATATTATTAGCATGCAAATCACTAGTAAAGCTAATCGCTATTTAGCCATCATGCTAGGTAAACTTGCAAACTCACCTGGTTTATACTCTTTTTAAATCAAATGCCAAATGAATATGTTGATTTAGATAGTTTCACTCCTTATTAGTGAGTAGTGAGCTAGTTTCTACCCCAAAAAGAATTTTGAGAGAGATTTTTTTTTAATTGTAAAAGATTTTTGTTTTAATTGTAAAAAATTCAAATTTATATTTTTTTATGTTCTATGAGAAAATACTTTCTCTCAAAACTTTTTTTAGTCTCAAATATTATTATTTTTTGCTATTGGTATGAAAACTTCTCTCAAATATTTTTTTTCTCTCATAAAATGCTTTTTTTCTATCAGTGTGATAACTTTCTCTCTCAAACATTTTTGTTTCTCTCAGATTATTTATTTTCTTGCACGTAATAAAGACACAAATCTAACTCCATATAGTTCCTTTGTTTTTCTGAGTTGTGTGAAATGGCTAACAAAAATAGGTAATACAAAACGATGTGTTCACCAAGGTTCTCTAAGTTCTGATAACTTATACTGTCATATTTTGTGCAGAACTGTGTTCATTGTCTTTTGGCAATGTTGGAGGTGGAGATTGTGCACCTTAAAATGTGTTTCCTGTTCCAAGTGCAGTAGTTCAATCCAATCGGGCGCTCGAAGGGGGTCTCATATATATATATATATACACATACTATTGGTCAAAGAAAACTAGCAATCTGTAATGTAAATTTGAGGTCTTGGAAACTGGGATGAGCATTTTCACTAGTTTCTGATATTTTACAGATTAAAAAATTAAATCAAAAAAATAGACGAGCAATGGGAAGAAAGACCAATGGATTAATGATTAAAAAAATAACTATTAGCTGCACAGACTCACAAAAACATAAAGCAACAGTGCAGCTGAAAATTACTTTGCAATCATGTACATAAACTGCGTACCTGAGTGCAGTGTGGCACAAAGCCGTAAACCAGGGTGTGACAGTCATTGAACAGAGCATGGAGCTGCTTGGGGGCTTGCACTGGAGGGGGGGCGGTCGGGTTGAACTGCTGCCACTTCACTGACACTGAACTGCAGCCAGGGGACGCCATACGCTTCACCTGACACGCCACCTGCGGCCAAAACAGACAAAACATAGACAACAGATGAATGATATGACAGTGTTTAAGTGTATTTGTCACATAGAGATAATAAAGATTCCCTTGGGAAATGTTTCAAGTCTTGCATTTTCCTGGATGAACTTTGCCAGCCAGTGTGACAACATAAAGATGCTTGCATGTTTCCATGGAGACAAAAATTACTACAAACAAAGTAGGTAAGAACAAAAACAGACTAAACATGAATAGCTATGTATTTGGTCGTCTCTTTTCATCATCTTTTTATTGATCCTTTCAAATAAAACTCCCAGAGTTGGGCATAAAACTCATAATGAAGTGAGACAACCTTACACCCCCATCCCTCATCGCCCACCCGTTTTGGTTATCTAGAATAAACTTAAGGCACAATGTTATAGCTAAGTTATAGCTATTTCCATGAAACCTGGTGTTATTTTCTGTGTGAAGAGTGGAGTTAGAATGCATGTCATACTATGTTATTTGGGTGTTATGAAAGTATGTCAAAAAGGTTCCTCGGGTCTTATAAAATTTGTTCTCACTGACTAAGAAGCGTGACATCTCCAATTTAAGGCAGAACATTATGTCTCAAAGACACTGACTAAGTGTGGGCGGGGCAGCATCCTATCCAATTTGAACAAGACTGCGCCAAGAGTGAAGCAAAGGCAACCATGCAGTGCTCTGCGGAGGTCAGATGAGGGCTGTCTCCATCAGCAACACCAAACAGAGCTAAGAGGGAGCCTGGTTCTAAATTCTGCTTTAATATGTTGGATGGGTATTCTCTCTTGAATTCTTGTAAGGGCACAGCCAGTACATGTGGACAAGGGTAGCATTGTTGTCAAGGGGGGAAATGAAAACCACAAATTGTCACCAATCCTAAAAGCAGTTTAATGCTACTAATTGACACAATAATCGATGGCAGAAACATAAACTCCCAATATAATGCGTGATTAATTAAAGGTAGGCAGGCTCACCTTCTCAACCCAGTTGTGTTTGGTTTTTGTGTCGAAGAATTCATAGGCTCCACCCCCTGCCTGAGCCAGGGCTCTCAGCATGTGCCGATTGGCTGTTGGGCTGAAATGACGAATAAAAATAAATACAAAATAATTCTGCAATGAGAAGTAAGTAACTAACTGTGATGAGCATGGTAACTATTACTGTAAAAAAAATTGCAAAATAGAAATTCTTAACATTTTTCATAATTTGGGTGTTGGAGTGTGCCTTTAGCTGAGGAAATCAAAAGTCAATATCCCCCCCCCAAACCCATTCAGACCTGAGGCCGCAGGTGAAGAGGCGGCTGTGCTGAGCGTTGTCTCTGAGCAGCTGCAAGGTGAACTCTGTGTTCTGGATGTGGCCGTCCGAGAGCAGCAGCAGGTTCCTGACTCCGCGGGACGGAGGCAGCAGGCTGAGAGCGCGCAGTGGCCGCCACAGCTCGGTGCTGCCCCCTACTGGAGGGTTGCGCTGATGGGGGGGGGAGAGGGTCATGACTAAAGTTACATGGCCTCTACAATTATTATTGCTTTTAAACTAGCTTTTGGATGAACTGCCCACTCATACTGGGAGTGAAATTATGTTTACTAATAAAAAATATTTAATTTTTAAAATCTAATTTAGCATTCTTCCATATGTTGAAGAAATGAATCTTACATTGACAAGTCATTTTCATCATTGTTTCCTGTTTGTTATTTAATAATTATGAAATGTGCTAATACACATATATAGTGATTTCATGGCTGCAAGCTCAGGTAGAAGTCATTTCAAACATTATTAACAGTATATCAACCACAGTCTGACACTTCATGAAGATATTGAACTTTAGTATTTGGTTTGACCACCACTAACGGCCACTTGAGGGAAGACAATCTCCACAAGGCCCCACATTAAGATGCCCAACTTGACAGCAGAAATAAGCATGTTTACACCCAGGTACAAAAAACCATTTCGGTCTCTGTACTTACATACCTCATTCACAACGACTATACAGGGTTTAACATATTAAACTCACCCATTTAAATTATATTAAAGCTTAAATAATTAAAGGCATGGCCACTTTGAGTGACAGGTGGGTGTTGTTACAGGTAGCTGGTTTCAGTAACCAGGCTTCATTCAGCCGGCCTCAGCTCCACCCACACTCCATATATTTGCCCATTTTGGATGAGAACTGACAAGATGGCAAAGAATATCTAAAGTCTATGGATTATTTATATTAATCAACAGAAATAATCACAGAAAACAAAGAATTTACAGAACAAATTTCCTTCAAAACCAGTTCCAGGTTGTTCTACAGTATGAAAGAATCATAACTCACCTTGATGAAGCTCTCGGCTGCCTGTTGAGCTTCAGCAAGCGGCTGTGCTGTCAGGAAAGCTTCTGTGTGATCTGACAGGCAAAAACACAGTAAAAGTGAGGAAAATGTCATACTGTAGTTATTTGTTACTTTTGCAAATATTCAGCAAGACGATAATAATTGAACAGGTAGAAACTATGTAGTTCATTAAGAGGAAACTTTCATGAAACGAAAGTTGACTTCACATGTCTGTCTCTGTCTTTTTTATCTTATCTCACTACATACACAAAGACTGACCTGTGCCAAAGAAAATGACATTGAGTCTGAGGTTGAGGTCGAGGGTTTTTAGGACCTGTAGGGCGATTCTCTGGGCCATGCGCAGAGACTCTCCCTTCATGGACTCAGACGTGTCGATCAACAGGACAACTTCGTCGGATGCTGAACTGGAGCTGGCGACAAAGTCTGGATAGAACACCAACATGCAGGCCTAGAGTGGGAGAGATGGTTAGAAAAAAGCCAGAGTGAGAGAGAGCGGACAACACATAGACAGACAGACAGACAGACAGACCTGGCTGTCCTTGTCAGGGTGTTTCTCCACCCACATCCTGGGCAGGTGGACATCAGACAGAGTGATTGACAGCTGGAAACCTTCTGGACCCATGACCTTTCCTGGAAGCACGCTCACCACTGCCTTACAGTCTGTTCTCTGTGGATCACAGGCAGAAAAGAGAAAAAGGATAAACACGATTCAATTCACTTCTATTGTGTTTATGAAATCATATAAGAGAGCAAGAGGACAAGGTTTGCAATTAATCATCACTTTTCATTTATAGATTAATCAAACAGACATACATTTAATGACTCAACTTTTTAGTATGAAACAACATCAAAAGTAATGACAAATCTGCATCATGGAATCCCATAACTCAATCTAATAACATAATAATAACAACTAATTCTCCACTGATAGATTTAATTTCAGCACTTAGTTGTGAGGCAGACAGTTGAAATCCACTGAAATACATTTACACATACATTTTGCCTAGACCTTCTTGTGTAGGATTCCTACACAGAGACAAAAGAAATAACTAACCATAACCATAAATTATATGATTAATAAAATGTGAAAACACCCAAATTACCTTCATCTTGACTTTGTGCGTGGTGCACTTCAGGCTGCTGATCTCATACGGCATCTCAATCGACATATCCAGGGTGAACTCTCTGAGGCACAGTACAAGTATTGAACACAGCCTGCTGCTGCACGCATTTAACACAAGTAGGACAACACACTATATCTATCCAAATGTTCCACTTGATGAATGACAACTGATTAACAAAACTGTCATTGATTACTTATTTGTGGAACTAGTCAGGAAGTGATTCACCACACTAAAGATGGAGTCAGATTTCTTATCATTGCTCACCTTGTGCTTTCTGCCTCCTCAGTCACACACACCTTCTCCACAGTGACCTGTCGAGTAACGGAAGATGAAGAAAAACCTTAACAGTAATTTTACTTTCAATGCCGAGCCCCTCACATACAATGAGATCCAGTATCCTTGCCCTTCCTCTAAACTCCGTACAATCTAGCACTAGCCAAAACAGAAAGACATAAGCCTGAAGCAGCAAAACAAACCAATAAAAAAACAAAAACAAACCAGCAACACTTAGTTTTATTTCTCCAGTGATGAATGTAGAATAGCAGATTTTGCTCTCTGATTTTCTACTTCCTGTTGTGCCTGTTTTTAATACTTTGAGGTTGGATTGTTAGATAGGCCTCGTGTCCGGTCTTACTTGTGTGGTCTGGTTGAGCGCTGCACTCTCCTGCCACGGAGCCACACTCCCAGGCAGGGAGAAGAGAATACTCCCGTCCCTGACAATCAGCTCAGACACAAAGGTAACTTTAATGAGGACAGTGGCGCCGGGAGGCAGATTGCCCACGCTGATGGTGAACACATCCTGCAGTGAGCACATAAATCACATCACATATATTATCATTACATTATCGAGGACAGTCCTGTGTTTCTATGTATAAAAACACTCCGGAAGCAGCGGCTCCCACTTTGCAACGCTGTACTTTTATGTATCCATTTAATGAGTTCATGAAGTTTATGAGATGCTGTGAAAAGAAGCTAGAAAATATTCAGATATACTGACTGATCAGTCTAATATTTCAGAATCAGAGATTGCCGGGCTTATCGTGATGATATGTGTTTGGGTTAGTGCAGAGGGTGGACATACGGGGGCGTCCTGGTCCATGAGGTAGGCTCCATGGCCTCTCTCAATAGCCTGCTTGTACTCCTTGCGAGCCTTCTCTTTCTCCTTCACCTGACATCCAAACAGACACGAAACACAAGGTTACATTGTTTTTAATAATAATCCATCATGAGTGATGTACTCATGGGTGAGGTTTGCTGCCTGCCATTATACAATAACCTGAAAATGTATTCACTGAACAGTCAGTTAGAAAAAAGCATTTGCTAGAAATAATATCGTAAAGAAATAAGACAGTAGATATTAAAGACATACAGTAATTGGGGGGAAACTAAAAATCTGTGATAAGAAAAGTTGAGTCAGGTTACCTGTCCCACCACATGTTTCCCATTGATGAAAGCTTCAAATCCACACACTGCTGCAGAATCATCCAACGGGAAGACATACTTTGCCTCAATGGGGACAGAGCTCAGATTGGTGTATTTCTGGAAAATGATGACCTAAAAGAGGATCGAGGACAGACACATACTGTTAAAAAAGAAATTGAATGGATTTTAGGAAGCTGAAATCAAATCAACCAGCAGATCACAGAGCTGTTATCACAGCAAAGAGAACCTGAGAGAGCAGATCCATCAGTTTGCACTTCACGTGTACGGCCTGCAGAGGGAGCTGCTGACCCGAGCTGTCCAACAGACCAGCCGTCACATCCTCCAGTGGGTTTTTAATACTTTCAACCCCGTTGTCCTCCGAACCGAGCCCTACACACACACACACACACACACACACACACACACACACACACACACACACACACACACACACACACACACACACACACACAAGAATATGCTAACTTCAAGGTATTTAATGAATGTGAAAATAAAACCAGAGTCTGTATTACTCAAGTAATTCTCACTGATAAAAAAATAATATTGCCATGAAAATGTTTTTTTAAGTGACCTCAAGACTCAAAACACTACCTGAACCGTCAGTACATTGTATTCCATTACTACTCTGGGTCTTAACACACTTTCATAGTTTTTATGTATTTATGTATGTTGTGTTAATTACAGGATGTATGTATTCTTTAGCCTCCATGTTTCAAAGCAGGGTCACACAAGCGCACAATTAACACAATCGCTACCGGTGGCAGAGCAAATACATCGTGTGGAGTTCAACTTTTTCATCTTGTCACTTGCATGAGTTTGCATGTGACCGTGCCCTTATACTGTATAAAGCAGTCACGCATGGAATCAGCAAAGTTTATCATCTTGTATTGATCCACATCCTTTAAGACCTCTGCTTTATATACATTACAACATTTTGCACTCATTCTACCAAAGATTCTCTAGAACAGACAGGAGCAGTACAAGCTATGCCACAGAATTAAAACAGAAAAAAATCTACTCCACGTATATTATAAACCTTTAAACTCGAGGAAAATGGTTGAGAAATGTAAACATTATAGTTTATTTCCCACATCAGAGTGAGCGTGGGTCCAGTTTTGGACGGACTCAGAACCTGCTGTTAGTCTGCTAAAGGGGAGGGGCAGCGGCTAAACTGTGACACAGATACAGGAAATGACTCTTGAGTGAACTGTCCTCTTTATAAATCATCTCTGCTTCTACATGGAAATGTGATGATTACAATGACTTGCAGTGATGTCATGGTGAAGACACAACGACATCTGCTGATGATAAGTCAACTGCAAAATGTGTTTAAAAATATGGGACTGCCCCAAGGAAGAATCTGCAATGCCTTCAAAATGTGTTGGCAAAATCAGTGCAGAAACATGTCTTGTTTGCACTTAATTTGTACATTTCAGGGGTTCACTGTGCCATATTAGGTCTGGCACATCCAGGCTTAGATATATTTTTAGCCACAGATAGCCAAACCTTGATCCTTTCAAATGTTATAACACAATATAGATTCTGTGTCCACTCGTCCAATCAGAACTGTCCTCTCATCAGAATTTTCATGTATGTTATCCTTAACTGCAAAGAAAACATGACAACCGGCACAAACAATGTGGTGTGTAACAATATCCGATCTTAATGTTATTTACACTGATAACTCTTAGCAGATATTTTGCAGGTATCCACTGCTCACCTTGGTCAGAGGAGGGCAGACACGGCTCAGCTGAGGTGGTGATGGCAGGGCTGAACTCCTTCAGCTCGTCTCCCTCGATACTGAACTGAACCACATACTTCAGTTTCACCTGGTCAGGGCTGTACACCACATACTCATCATCCTAGAACATATGGTTATACTTGTTAGAGTGCACACAGAGGATACTTACACACAAGACAGTTTTTACAAGCAGTCTTTAGTAACTTAGATATGAAAACAAATCAGTAAAGCCATTCATTGTTCATTTCACTCAGCATGTTAAATTTGTTCTGATGAACTACATTATATTAACAATAATAGCCTATAGTAGACATATTGGTATTGTGTATATATAATTATAACCACTGATTTGCAGGTGATCCGAATCAGAATTGAAAATCTTTACGCGTGTCCCATGTTAGGAATGAGAGTCAGACTCAGTTGAGGGGTAAATGCATCTGTGTATTTGTCTTTCTATCTACACTGACACACAAACACTCCCACCTCAAACTCAGAGTGAGCGTTAGGGGTGCGGCGGACCCCGTGCACACTGTGGTGTCCCTCAGGAGCCTGGGTCAGAGTAGTGTCTCTCTTGCGGAGGTCCCTGCACCGTCCCAACGCCACATCACTCACCAACAGCAACCGAGAGCCGTCCGTCGCACTGGGCCTGGAGTACTTCAGACTGGTGCTGTGGATGGAAAACATGAGCAAACAAAGGAACAAAAAGACAGAAACAAAAGATGACTGTGTTTTTGCTATCTGAAACTATCTTTCTTAAAATGTATTTGACTTTGCTTATTATGTCCTAAGGCAATAAAACATTACATTAATCAAGTTAGGAAGAGTTAACTGATGCTTTATTTTTTTATGGAAGGTGGTGTTATTTGTCAAACCAAATAGACAACTTGTATGGAACACAACTTGTCAATTTGATATTTTCTACTAACCTAACAGCATCACTGAAGTAGATTCCACTGCCCAGATTACCAACGTCCGTTCTCTCTATCCCATGATGCTCCACTCCAACACGGGGCAGCAGTAGACCACTAAAGACAGTGAGACAATACTGAGTTACAAAATAAAACTCAGAAAGAGATTTCTGAATTGTATAGTAGAAGATGTAGACCTGCACTGTACTGTTCCTGTCAGGCTATCTGCATTACTATAACATCACATCACTATGTAAGGTACTCATACATAGATAGAAGATAGTATGTAAAATAGGGATTGATATTGATGAACTTGTTGAATACATAAAACTGTCACTACCACGACTAGTTAAAATGGGAAGCTCTTCTTCAGTGCCATCCCACTGTGTGTTTGAGGCAGAAAAATAGGTCATTTTTTACAATATGAATATTAATTCCGAAAATATGTAAACAATTTAAATAGTGTTAGTTGAATGACAATATAGTTATATTTTATACTGTAAATTACTTTTATTATACACAATTCAAGTATATGTGTGCATGTGATCTCACCGAGACAGGATTCCCACAAAGTTTCTGGGGTAGGAGGAATGGAGGAGGGGCTTAACGTTCCCGAGATCACTCTTAAAGGTCTGAAGCTCCACACCTCTGTTGACACGCAGGACCTGTTGGATCTGCACCTTGCTGCAAAGCACAGAAATATGGGCACTGACGTTTAAAACGCACAGAAAACATTGTCACTTTGAGTTAACAGATTCCAAGCTGAACAAGCTTTAATGTAGATTTACTCCTTTCAGTTGTTATATAGTAATCGTCTGTACTTTTGATGATTGTGTGACGATGATTGTGCCACAAATAATAAGTGGCGTGCATTCATATCTGCAGCAGGATTTTGTAAACAGACGTGTGTGTTTCGGAGGTGGTAGGCTACCTGTTCTGCAGCAAAGCATTCACAGCCTGAAACTCGGAGCTGCTGGGGGGAACAGTCTCAATGCTGCACCTCAGAGCGCGGTACTTCCCCACACAAGACGGCGCCGGGCTTCTCAGGGTCATCTCACTCACGTTTAGAACATCTCTGATTAACTTAGAATAAATCAAAGAGAGAAGTCAGGTCATTTTGCTGAAATGCATTAGATGCAACATACCAGCCATGGAGCTGCCCTCCGCTGGCCACTAGACAGAATGCAGGTTTAAGGCATTTCCATATAAGCTTCACTTCACATACCTGAAAGCTCTGCCCACTTATATGTACTGTCAATGATTTGAATCTTATCTAAACTGCCAACCCTTAGTGTGTCTTTGAGAGTATTTATCAGTGTTTATCAAACACACCATTCTGAATTTACAGTGCTGCTTCAAAGTATGTAAACCTCCTGAGCATTTGGGAGTTTTCTTGTTTTTGCTCCAATTATTTCTTTATCTAATAACCTGTATTTCTTTTATGAAATAACAGATGCATGTTTATCAGTTCCATATACTTTTTGAAGGAAATCAAGCATGTAGTGAAAAGACTAATATAAAAATAACTGGCAAAAGTTAGTGAATACTGACCTGCATTGCACTGGTTTGATCAATTTTAATCAGAGCTGCCCAATCTCTTCCCTAAACATATCTCATTTCATTGGTTCATTCAGCCAACAACTTTGTGCCACCTGATATTTACATGCTGGTTTCAAGCTATCCAGCCCAGGGTTTACTAACTTTTGCCTCTACAAAAGTTTACAAAAAATATTGTTATATTAGTCTTTTCACTACACATTTCATTTCCTTACGTTAAAAGTATATGGAATTGATAAACAAACACCAGAAAACAACGAAGCACAGAAAGACTGATTTGGACATTGGTTACCTTGGTAACAGTCTAAAAGTTTTAAAGCATTCGGTTCAGCCTGAACGGCGGTTTCACTGTCATCCACAGTTTGATTCAATTTTGTCACAGCGTGAACACACCACAGCCTCAAAACCTGCTTAGATTTTCCACATCTATCATGTATGCACATGGCAGACCTTTCTGTATGTGTGTATCTGTCTTAGTGCGTGCATCCATGTGTTTGTGCAGGGGTGTATGTTCTGTGTTACCTGACAGAGGTCCAGTTTCTCAGAGATGAGCTTGGAAGAAGGAGGTAAGTGGGGCTGTGTGAGCGGCAGCAGGGTGTAAACCTCATCCAGGAGAAGCATCACCTCAGAATGATTTGACTCCCTCAGCTTCCTCTGAGCCTGAAGCAACAAGCCCTCCACCCTGGTCACCTACACACACACACAAAAGGCATGGAGCAAAAGTGTTACTCTAATGAGATTCATGACATTCATTAGACAGACTCTCCCGGAAGGTGAATGTAGTCTGAGAGGAGACTGAACACAGAACAACGCGCAGAGAAAACCTTACATCATTTAGGCTGAGCTTGTCGACTGGAACTCTGAGGATGTTGCTGAGGCAACCCAGGGCCTCAGTCCACAGCATCTCCACAAATACGCCTACTTCCTGTGATAAGCTTCCTGTGTTCAGCTTCTCCTCGAGCAGCAGCTGCCAGTCAGACAAGGCACATGTAAATCAGCTCATTAGATTCAGCTACACACATGAGATTCAGATATCATAATAACACAAAGTCTAGCACATTATCCCGCTAACTGAGATACTTTAATGCGTTTTACTGCGAGACATACCACTCTCAGGACCACTGACATTCTGGTATATAATAATGGGTTGCTTTTAAAGATGGTTATCCATTATGTGACGCTTATTGGCCCACCACAACATACCACAATGTCAATATACTGGAGTTAGTCACAGATATGTAAACCTCTAGATAATGATGTAGTGTATTATAATATTACAATATTACAATTTGTATTTATATATTAACACATTATATAATGTATCATTATTAACCTTAAATATATTTTATTAATGCGTCATATTAACAGGACATTTGGTGAATTTTATATTGACAAACCATATCACTCTGAAAAGACCCACCACGTGTTTAATGTTGTAACTGTAACTTAAGATGTTATGTATATATCATAGACAAGCCTAGCACATAGCATATAAGTACAGGAAAGGAGAAAGTTGACCGAGGTTCCGACTGCACCTGCCTCAACTGTTATCGGAGCCAAAACGGGGCAGGATTTAGGAAGCTTTATTTTTCTTGCTTTGGATAAAGACTTTCAGCAAAATATGTGTGTGCAGTTGAGCCAGACCTGCTGGAGGGGGGCAGAGCCCAGGTCCTGGGCCCGTGGAGGGATGTTGCTCCGCAGCTGCAGACCGGAAGCCTGCAGGGTTTCTCTAAGGGCCTTGTACACCTCCAGAGCTTCCTCTGAGTTGGACGGAAACACCAGCATATCCCTCACCGCCGCTGTCTGTTAGCACAAACACAGGTATCTGTTTATGTACAAGTTTTTCTATTGCTTAAGTGTAACCTGAGTCCCACATTTTGATAGCTGTTATTCAGATGGGGCTAAAAAGTGACAACTCTCACTTGAGAACAACATTTTTAAAATAAAACTGTTCACATTGGTTTAACACTACAAATAACTTCCTACTTCTGTTTGATTCTACTGCATACTACAATAGACAGCATGTTTAAACAGGATTATTATACACAGGTCACAGGGCAAGAAGTTCAAACTAACCAATAACAATATGACAGACATTGTATGACACTAACAGTGGTGACTTATTGTTTTATTTTCAATATCAATCTTACAAAAATGATCACATTGCATCACAATCAGTACAGCATGTCAGCTCACAGGTGACCCCAATGTGATCAGCAGCAATATACAATAGACTTCATACCTTGGCGAACACATCGTCCTTCCAGTACCGGACCACACGGTACTGCCATTCTTTGTCCCCTTTGGAACTCTGCAGCTCCAGCACACACCAAGTGTTGCTTTTTATCTTGAGAGAAATGTATATATTATTAAAAATAGTAATTGCAGTACTTTTGTAATAGCAATAAGCTAAAAAAAAAAAGTGCAGCTTTACCTTTTCAAAGATTGAATACTTGGCCACTTGAAAATGATCCGGATACGTTGGAAGGTTGGAATCAGTTCCAGTATAAATCCTGTGAAGTTTAAAAAAAATATCAATTATATTATTTTTGTGTGTGAGGTAGTTTGTGTTTTGAGAATACATTTTCCTGCAGAAATGTTCATGAAAACAAATGTTGACTCCACTGAACTGTGTCTTTTGAGCTGTAAATTAAACTATATGACTGTACTGTGATGAAACACATCAATGCCGGTGTTAAAAGTGACATTCTTAGCAATTTTATAAAACTCGGCATTTTGTGGGTTGATAATTGCTCAACACACCATAGACTGTTTTAAATCACCTTGTACCCCAATGCTGACATAGAGTTGACCGTAACTTATTTACATCATGACAGAAAAGAGTGTTAACGCCCTCTAATCAGAGCAGGTGCATTTCTGTTGTCAGTCTGTCAATCACTCCGGTTGGTGTTGAGGCCACGCCCCCTAAAGTCACTGTCCTTTGCAGGCCTCTGCATTATTTCATTATCATATCATATCATTCATCCCGAATCCACCAGTGTTAATATAACACACTACTGAGTATGTCCAGGCTAACATAAGGATGGTTCTTGTTCACACCTGAACCTTTCCAGGACGTTTCCGCTCTTCACCGGACTGTGTGCCTCATGAGTCTGCCTGACAGAGTCCACAGGCTTGGCTGGGCCTTTGGACAGCTCAACTGCTTTGCTTTGTGGTACTTTGGACACTACAAAAGACAAGACAGAACATTTACACATAATGGACACACCTTATGTCACATGTTCTGCAGTACATGCATTAGGGCAGGTATGTGATTAAACCTGACTACACAAAGCAGGCTATGTAAGCAAGGTGATACAATTCACAGAGGGCTCATTACACAACACTGCTGCATGTTAGAATCAGCTCTACACAAAATCTGAATGTGTATGTGCAAACACACCCTTGACCAGACCTAAGGACTATGCAGTTAAACCTGCTGACTGCGGCTAAATTAATCAGAATGTCCATATGTCAATGCTGAAACAGAAGTGGGAGGACAGACTATTGAACCAGAAAAAAAGAAAAATATGACTTGTGTCTGTGTGAAGTGCAAATAAAGGAAATAAGAGGGATCATGAGTCATTACGTTGGAACTAGGTGGAGTCCTGGTTCCCATGTTTCTGACCGAGACAGTACTGTACCTACAACGGGAATTTTACACTCCCAAACAGTGCATAAACCTTCTCTCTGCAATTCAGTTTTAAAGTTAAATACATAAACATAAATGATGTGCATTTACAAATATCAAAGATGAGTGATGCTGTGGCCTTCACCATCATCATCCTTTAGTTTGCTGCTACATGATCGTCCAACAGGGAATAAACAGGGTTTCTGCAGATTCAAGTTAAAGATCCCCTCCAGTGTTAAGACTGCAAAACAGTATCATTTCCACATTAAAATCCTCTCCCCCTTCTCCCTCATTAAACCTTCCACAATCTCTGAATATGTAAGTGTTGATTTCTAAAGTTTTCCTGCTGGACACAAGATGTCTCCTACTTCACTGTAAAGTCCATTCTCAGTGGATGTGCACTGGTGGCTTCAAGTTTCTACATCACACTGTACAAGTTGCATACTGGACTAGGACTGACTTCCTAACTATTTGTGATGGCACAAACCATGCTGGTAGGCCCCACCCCCTTAAAATCATATTGTCAATGAGCACACTTTCAGCAGATGAATGTGAAAACATCCCTCTAGTGTCAAACTCTGCACAGACATATTTGTTACAGTGTATGATATACATATATGTGTCACTTAAACATGATCAGTTCAAATGTTTCCTAAAGACAAGTTAAAAAGCTAGATTCAATTTATGAAAGTAACATTGACTTCATAATCCAAACTAGTTTTCCAATGTAAGGCCTAAAATTCAGATTGTTGAATTGACAACAGTGTTTTTTCCGAATGACTGCTTATATGGATAATACCTTGCTGTGAGTGTGTACTCAGTGAGGAGGGAGGACGAGGAGGTGAAAAAGCAAAGGGAGAGGAAGTATCCAGCGTGTACTCATCCACAGGCAGAAGAACTCCTCTTTCCAGACAGCTGTACACATAATCCACTCCGACCACCGGCGTTTGGTATTTCTGGATGCTACGCAGCCTGTTGCTGCTCAGATTGGACACATCACTGGTCACTATCAGAGAGCACTGTGGGAAATGTAGGCAGAAATCAGAGAGAAAGTTGTGCTTTTTTTTTGTTACTGCATATGAACATATCCAACTGGCTGAAGTGCCCTAGAAGCAGACAACATGCAACCTGCATCTACACTGACCCTATTGGAGAAAGATATTCAGTTTTTAGTCCTTAACCACCCCGATATCTCCACCTACAGCGCAGAATGATCACATCCTCTTACCTGTTTATTGACCACAAAGCAAATGTTGCCTCCATTCTCTGTTATTGCTGACTTCAGCTTCTTCTTCTCCTTGAAGAGCAAATTTTTCAGCTCCAAAAGCACAGAGCAGTTCTCAAACACAGCCATGCCTGCAAGGAGAGGAGGACACACCAAAGTTATTATAAGCTGGGCTGAGTTAGAAAATACAGTAGAGGGAATACAATGATGATAAAGTGACAGCTGTGAGATATGAGTTTGTTTTTCTTGTTTGTTTTTTTTCAAAGAAAGTAATGTGTAATTCTATTCTACAGGAACTTCAGGCATAAGTTCACAGCAGGATGCATGAGAGTTACAGTACAGGGCTTTTACACCACCTTCCCAAGGCCTGCAGATGTGCCCATTATCTCCTAATGCTAGATAATTGGCCTGTCACCAGCCGCCATACACAAATGTAGTTAAATAAAAAATGCAATAATAAGAGCAGAATATAAGCCATAGAAAATAAAATAAAGAAATGAAATAAAATTGAATTAAAAAGACATCACATAAAAGCAAGTCTACAACAAAGGCCTTAAAGAAGTGGTTTCATTATACTATGTAATTAAACCAATGAAATGTCATGTTTTTTTTATATCTCGTCAGCTCCAGAGATCACGGTATGTAGAATGACACACCCACACACCCACACCCACACACACACACACACACACACACACACACACACACACACACACACACGCCCGCCCACGTAAAAAGCTGATTTCTGGGAAACAAATGCGGAAGCAAATCGCCAAAACTAGGCTGTAAAACTGTGCAATAACAGGCCACACTGAGACTCTACACCGCTACTGCATTAACATAAACAGCATTAAGTTACTTTACATGGCTGAGAACCGGCGTTATATTGGGCAAATATCGGCTAGGAGAGAAATAAAGACACAAAACAATAAGAATTGATCAATTAACAAAGTAAGCGAAGGGAAGGTGTCCCGTAATGTCCAGTAAAGTGTATGACATGCTTTACGTTAGGTTAGCTCTCTGTGACATTTCACAAACAAACGTAACGTAACTTATTAAGTTAGAAGAGACATGGCGTCATCTCGCTAACGTTAAATTCGGATTAAATGAATACATAAATAATAAATAAATAAACTGAGGTTTACTTTGCTGTAAACATGCAGGTGGTTCTTCTGCGGTTGTTGTCAGAAAGCAGCTGCAGGTTGATGTTAGTTCCTGAAGAAGAGAAGAATACAGCCCTGTGTGTCCCTGCTGTGTGTCTGAGGTTAGCACAACGCTAGCAGCTTCATCTTCCGGTGTGTCTGTGTTTTCACAATAAAGGTTGTGGCGTTAAAGAGAAAATCCTTCTGTTGAGAAGCTGCATCTGTTTGATAAAAGGTAACATGTGTGACAAACAGCATTATAAAGAAGTGTAGTGGACCCCAAAAAATGTCAATCATCAGAATTTTCATATTTTTCTTCTGTGAAAATTAAAATCGTGATTGCAAAAAAATATTTCCACTAATAGTGAATCATATTGCAAATGCCAGTATCTTTCAAAATAATCGCAATATGCAGTATATATATATATATTTTTACCATATCATACAGCCCTAGAGTCAAATTAAATCCCAATACTGTCTATGGACCCCAGTATGCAGAAATTCAAATACACTGGGCAAAAAAATACCATTGACAACACAATAACAAATAAAACATTTAAACTGCATGTTTTTTGCCCCAAACTGCATGAGATTAGCATAAAGTGGGCATGCCTGTAAAGGGGAGACTTGTGGGTACCATCTACCGTCAATGGTGGGTACCCATAAAACCCACTTTCATTCTTGTCAAAGGTCCCCAGACCTTTAAAAAAAAGGCCTACAGAGATAAAGAGAGAGAGAGCCTAAAGAGTTCCCATTCCCAATATTGAAACCATGTCATACTAGGCAGGCAATGACAAAGATAGTGATGTTGCTCAACAAATCAGACTTATTTTTATTTTTTTTTCCCAACTGAGGCCCCTTTTCTGTCTGGCTTTTAATTTGAAAGAAAATCCACAAGACTGGAGTAGTCTCAGTGTAGGTTATTGGAACTTGACAGAGTCTCTCTTCCTGGTTCAAAGCAAACAGAATGTGCAGTTCTCCTCATGGACTGCTCTGTTTACAGCACAGCCACAGAGCCATGCTGCCCTCCTCTGGATGAAGAGTTGTACTACAAACAAAAACTGTGTGGGGACCTGAATTATCTGGGCAAACTTAACTGCATTTGGAACCCAGCCAGTGTCTGAGCTAGAACAAATATCCAAGGGGGGCAGAAGGCTTATAGCGGGGCGGGGGGCAAAATATTAGCCGGATTGGAAAATGACCAAACTACATTTAAATTACAGAATTACACAAATGTAGACTGCAAGGTGTGTGTGTGTGTGTGTGTGTGTGTGTGTGTGTGTGTGTGTGTGTGTGTGTGTGTGTGTGTGTGTGTGTGTGTGTGTGTACAACGACTTGAGGAACCATCTGTTTAAAAAATCTAGTAGAAGGTGATGTTCAGTTGACTCTTTAGGAAGGAGAGTTTTGTTCAAGCAAGATTTATAGAAAATGCATGGCAATTAAGACATAGAGCACTGTATCCAACATAATTATTCCATTTAATCAATCAATTAATCATAGTGTACTCATAGTGTGTAATACATGGAGGGATTAATTAAATGGTTAAATTAGGCTTTCTGCTCAGAATTGTATGTAAATATGACCTATTTCCACTCAGTATCTTTCACAGATCACTGTTCCTGTAAGGAAAAACAGGGCCAACATCAGTTTTATACTCTGATGTGAAAAAGATGTATTTCTTTGCCCATTCTGCACAGGCCTTAAACAGAGAGATGTGGAGCCAGATGGAGGCTCGAATGAAAGAAAAAGGAGGACAAGCTGAGGGCCACAGCTAGAACCATGGTCCAGAACCAGAGAGAGCTCTGGTAAAATGAGAGACAGCAGCTGCTGGAAGAAAAGAAGACCGTGCAGAAGAAGCTGTCAGGAGAGCATGAGAAGGCAGAAGAGGAGATCAGAAAGAGAGATGAGCAGATTCATCAGAGCCTCCATGCTCTTTAAGAAGAAGCAGCGAGGACGAGAGCCTCTCTCTTGATGAATGAAAAGAATCCAGCGAGGTCAAAAGCATGGAAGAAAAGCGGCTAGCGAAAGTCAGCCAGCTTAAGGAACTCCTCGTAGAGAAAGATAAAGAGATCAGCAGGGCCAATGAAAAGAAGAAGAACTCGTACGGACGCCCAGAGAGCAGACATACGAGCTGGCAGACAGAGAGAAGACCCACCAGAAGGAGCTCTCTGACAGAGGTCAGAGCTACAGGGAGGAGCTCTCTGACAAAGAAGAGCACTTCCTCTCTTAGAAAGAAACATCCTTCCAGACAGGAGCTCTCAGGAGATCCGAGCCCAGCAGTGGCAGAGAGAGGAGACAGAGCTGGAAGAGATGCTGCAGGCGCTGGTCCACCAAAAGATCCTGAGGCACAAGGAGGCAGAGAGGAGAGAGGAGCTCCACCACCTCGCAGACGCAAACATCTGGCTTCACGTATGCTGCCTCAGCTCATCTTTTGGATTCTAACAGCTCATTTCAGAAGAATTCAGAGCTCTGGAAGAGAACTAAAAACAGGCTGTCTTTCTCTTTTCAGGAGCAACAGGAGGAGAAGAAGAGCCTCTGGAGCTGGAATCTGCTCTCTTAAAAAGAAACCTCTTCACCCCTCTATCCCTAACCCTAAACCCTAATTCCCTTCCTGATGGTGGTTGTGTATTTATTTATTATTTTTCTACTCTTACTGTTTTTTATACTGTTTTTTTCTCTATCCACTTTGCTGCTGCAACATTGGAATTTCCCCGTTGTCGGACAAATAAAGGAATATCTTATCTTATCTTATCCGTCAGCTTAGCAGAGTTAGTTTTTTATTTTATATAATGTTTACATGGAAAACAGCTTTAAAACTAATTGGGTAAAATTCCTTAAAGTATTTTTACTGATCTAACAGCAGAGTCACAGCGTTATATTGTAAACATGAATGTAGTCAGTAAACCTGAAATTTCCTTGACAAGAGTTCAGAGTGAACAATGAGTAACTGCCCTTTTGTTCTTTTGAGATTAAAGTTCCTTATAATGACAAAGAAGGAATTCCGGTCAGATAATTAATTCAACTATAGATAGTGATGATACTGATTCTCACATTCTTTCTGTCTGGATTTTAAATTGAAGGAAAATCCACAAGACTGGAGCAGTCAACAAATCAGACTTATTTTGAAATTTGTTCCAACTGAGGACCCTTTCTTTCTGTCTGGCTTTTAATTTGAAAGAACATTCTGAAGACTGCAAGTAGTCTCAGTGTCGGTTATTGGAATTTGACAGAGTCTCTCTTCCTGGTTCAAAGCAAACAGAATGTGCAGTTCTCCTCATGGACTGCTCTGTTTATGTTTACAGCACAGCCACAGAGCCATGCTGCCCTCCTCTGGATGAAGAGTTGTACTACAAATAAAAACTGTGTGGGAACCTGAATTATCTGGGCAAACTTAACTGCATTTGGAACCCAGCCAGTGTCTGAGCTAGAACAAATATCCAAGGGGGGCAGAAGGCTTATAGCGGGGGACCAAATTACTGGCAAGTGGAGACATAGTCATGCACAGTGAAATCACCTTCTTCTGTGTTATATTCTTCCATGCTTGTAACTGCTGCTATTCATTCTTTTTTTAACCATCAAATAAAAGATGAAGCCAGCACCAGTGTAAAGTGTACTGGTTTAGTCTTCAAAGGGCCAATACAACCCCGGAAATGCAGTTTTCCATTCCAGAAAGTGATTACAGCCTCCTACCTTTAGTAGTTTGTGTTCTGCCACAAAATGATTTGATTTCACTTGTGAGTTATTTTTTGAAGGTTAGAGCTCACCCATTTTCTACTTTTGGAAATACCTTTAAAGTGGAGAATTCGGGGCTGAATATTCATCAAATGTAGATAGTGATGTTTCTCAACAAATCAGAATTATTTTCATTCATTCATAAATGCTTAGAAAAAGACAACCACGGTGCTGAGAGAATCCGACTGCCGTTTACTATGTGACGACGGACGTTCATGATGCGTGTCTGCTGTGGTAGAACAACAAAGATGGACTACAAAAAGCGCATTTTAGATACTTAGCACTTGCACTCTTACCGTGTTGTTTCATGTAAGCTTTATTGATCAACCCAGTGAACAATAGGACTTCATTGGCCTGGTTGGAAAATGAAAATGAATTAAATTAAAATAAAAAAGGGAATACAAAAGTCATACAAACCTACTACTGAACATAATATTTTGCACATCTTCATTTAAAGAATAATAATAGTCTTTGACTTGCAGTACTTGTTTCACTTATCCTGTGTTCATTGTTATGCACCAATATAACGAGGTAAATTCCTGTATGTGGAAACGTACTTAATGTACACTCATTCTGAATCTGATCATTCTTAAGGTTCAGCATCTGAGAGTGAAGAACAATTCAAATATTTAAATGATATTCCTAAAGGCTGCAAATGAGGAATATGTTACGCTACGGTGTATAAACTTCAGTTTGATCATTTTAATATAATAATATTTATACACAAAGATCGTTTGTATTTGAGAACAGGTGGCTTTTCCGCAAGGAATTGTGGGACGGCATTATCTCCTTCAAGTATCCCTATGCTAAAGGAGATAATAAAGGAAGCATTGAAGCTCCTTTCCTCAGCATTTAGAGAATTCCAACAGCTCTTAACACTCACATACTTCTGGGCCCTTTCACTCAGTTAGAAACCGTCCTGATCAAAAATACTACTGGACCAGACCCCAGAGCTACAGGAAGGAGCTCTCTAAAAAACAACAAACAACAAAAAGAGTGTGGAAACCTGGCCTTGTTTACCATAATACAGCCTCACACTAACACAGATACATAAATGTAGGTGCAATGTTGCAAAACTAATCATACTGGGGATAGTTTTAAAGTGCAGGTGAAACTGGAATAAGAGAGCTGTTAGCGTTTCACACATATTTACGCATTTCCTGTATAAAACAGGCAGTCAGGGAAGGACCTGTTGCCGTAGCCAAAAGCGCTGTGTGTTACGTCCCCCCAGTCCAGCATCTCTAGCGGACCCATTAGCTGGCTCTGTCGGACTGGGAGCTCCAGTAGAATTTTTTTTTTTTTTCATTTTTTGGGTCTACATTGCTAAATAGGGGTATAATATGACAGAGGATGCAATCTTTAAAGGGTTCAAATTACATTTTTCATTTCACCTGGACTATAAACAATTGAAAGA